GGGGGGAGGGAGGGTAGGGAGGGGGAGGAGGGTTTTACGGGGACAGGAATGCAAGTAGGCGAATAGCGAGTAGTATATACATGTGGGTGGGGGGAAAGGAGAGTTGAGAGGAGGAGAGGGAGGGCGGGGAATATGACGAGGATGGGTGAAGGAAAAAAGGGGAAGGGACGTTGGGAAGTGTTTTTTCGACGTCATTCTCAGAAGAATGCATCTTGTACATTGGCCAAAATACACCTTCCCTCCTCCCTCCCTCCACCCCGCTCTGCGCTGCTCTGTCGCTCGATCCCTGCTGCCCCCCTCCACCTCCACCTCCACCTCCACTCCGTTCAGATTAACCCTAGCCCGGGTGGCGGTGGTGGTGGCCGAGCCGGGGCCCTTGGCGGGCAGCTGCTGCCTGGACGATTATGTACGGGCCGTGGAACCCGTGTACGACTACCTGACCCGGTGGAGCGGGATCCAGCCCGGGGATCTGGATCCGGCAGTTAGTCGCCACTACACCACCACACTCAAACACACCTACCTGAAACTCAAGTGGGTCCAGTCCCGAGGGGGTTAGGTTGGGTGGGTTAAGGAGTTGAGGGAGGGGAGGTTTCGGAGGTTTCGGAAGTGTGCGTGATTCGTCTTACATTACTTTATACCCCCGCATCCCCCCTCATCCTCATCCTCACCCACAATCCTCCCCGCCTCCCTCCCCCTTCCCCTCCTCCCCTCCTCATTCCTGATGCAGCATTCCCTTTTCTCCTGGACTATATCCGTCTATCTCTGATAGCTGCTGCTTCATTCGACAGTGGTTTGTCTTACCCATCCTCTCCCCCACCTCCCCCCCCACCTCCCCCCCACCTCTCCCCCCCATCCCCCCAGGCACTTGTTGGACTGTGGGTGTGTGTTCGTGGGTCACGACCTGAGGAAGGACTTCCGCTGCATCAACATGGTCGTACCCCCGGAGCAGGTGTGTGCATGTGTGTATGATGTGTGAGCCAGGGGGGGCATATCTTCACCCGTGGCTGCTACCCGGCGAAACCCTGCCTTCCCCGGTATTTCGGGGCACCCTCATCCAGTCACCCTAGTCAACTTCTCAGTGGATCGCTCAGGTTCCGCATCCACCACCAGCATCCAAAGGAATCTGCCGGATCAACTGCAGCTCAACTCCGTCCCTGGTCAGCTCGCAAGTCAACTTTATCCCAGGTCACCACCGTCCATCGACTAGGGGCACTTTTACATTCCACCATCGGAAGGATTTTCGACCCTGACAGGTCTCGATCCCAGAACTTTAGGGGGCATCGGTGTGTGCGTAACCAGTAGTGCCTGAACTCTATGTATGTATGTACGTATATATGTTGGGGAAGAGAAGCGGGTGGGGGGGGGTCGGGGGAGGGGAGGGGAGGGGAGGGAGCGTGCGCCGATAGGGGGAAGGGGGAGCGAAGCTGTGGGGGAGGGTTGTACGCGAGTAAGCCGTCTCATGCTCCGTGTCGATACCCCCCTCACCTTCATTGCCGCCATCACCCGAAATCCCCCGCCCCGGCCACCCGCCCAGCGGACACCTGCCGGCACCCGGCAAGGCACCTGCATCCCGATGGTTGTGGTCGTGGGTTATGGTGGTTGCTATGGTTGTTATGGTGGTTGTCGTAATGGCTAAGGTGGTTATTCCCGCAGGTGATTGACACTTCGGAGCTCTTCCGACACCGGGGAGGTCGAAAACTTTCCCTCCGCTTCCTGGCCAGCTACTTGCTTGGGGCGACACTGCAGGGCGCGGCGGGGCCAAACACACACGTACACGCACACGCCGGGCCCCACTCCCACCACGTGCCGCCTAACCCACTTGGCGCCGGCCCCCTACCCCACCCCAACTTCCATAACCCCAACCACCTCCACCACCCACACATGCACGGCGGCGGGGTCCCGCTCGTGGGGCCTATGGGGGTTATGGCTGGCGGGGGCCCTATGGGAATGGGCATCGGAATGGGAATGGGTATGGGGCCCCATCCACACACGCACCCACAGTTGCATGGGGGTGCGTTCCCGGCAGCGGTGGGGGCGGCAGCACCGCAGGGCTTTCCGCAGCAGCAGCAGCAGCAGTACGGCCCGTACCCGCCGCCGCCGTCACAGCAGCAACAGCCGTACGTGCCGCAGCCACACCTGCTGGGTCACGACGCCGCGGAGGACGCCCGAATGGCCATGAGGCTGTACCACAAGTACCTGGAGGTAAAAGGTGGAGTGGGGGGAGGAGGTTAGCGAGATTGGAGAGGGATTGGAAAAACGAAAGAGCTGCTATCGGATTGAAAAGTGGGATGGGATTGGGTTGGATCTTTCGCACAGTGGTTGAGGATGCGTTTGGATTGAACCTAGTGTTGTTTGAACCACTGAACAAATGTTCGACGCGTTGTGAGCCGCTGTAGCCAGCTCCCTATTCCCCGGTTTCTCACTCCCGCCATGTCCATTGTACGGCTGTACGGCAGCTTGTGGCGAATGACTCATTTACCCGAGTTCTCAACGAGATGTACGCCTGGGGCAAGCAGTACGGCTGGGATCCAGCCAACCCGAAGGGGCCCGGCGGCGGTGGTGGCGGCGTCGGAGGGAGCCTTGTGCAGCAGCAACAGCAGCAGCAGCAGCAGCAACCGCCTGCAGCTTAGCGGCGGCCGCCATACAAAACATACATACATACACGCATGTATATATATATATATGTGTGCGTATATAGATTGCCGTTGCGTGTTGGTACGTGTCCATAATGTGGTGGCAATGCGGTGGAAGAGGAAGGGACCAGAGAGGGCTACAACAGCACCGGGGGGTGAGGGGCAGGTCAACACGGGAAAAGGGGGGGGACATGATGCAAGGAACCAAAGATGAACTGCCGGCGGAAAGCGGGGAGGAGGTGACCAAAGCGGAGGAGGGATTCCGGCAGCTGACATGCGATACACACACACAGTGGCACACACTGTGGCACACCGCGTGAGTGAGGCAGCAGCTGAAGGGGCCCCGAATGGATGCGGCGGATGTAGGGAGGGGGCGCCGAGGGAGGGATGGGGAGGGGGGAGGGGGGTGCAAGAGGGGCCCTACGGGGGAATTACCGCATTACCGGCGGGTCCGTTGGCTGAAGTGGAGTACAGAGGCCCCAGAAAGGGAGGGGGGGAGGGAGGTAACGCCGCGGTGATGGCGATTGTGAAAGTGGTTATACGGGTGTACGGGTGGGCGCTGCTGCGGCTCCTCCCTCTGTCTGCTGGCCCCAGCGGCCGTTCCCCCCGGGCGCCCCCTCCCCCTCCTCTTCGCCCATTGCTGCTCCCGACTTGGAGGGTGACCAGAGGTACCCGAGGAGTATTGGGGAGGGGGCCCCACAGTGCCTTGGCAAATGTGTGGTTGGACGACACCAGGACGAGCGGCCCTTCCGGCTTGGCGCGGAGCCGTAGTCAATACACTTACTGATCAGGTCAGGTGGTGATGAGCTACCCTTGCTATTTATGGTACACAGTATTGCAGCTGTTAGTTTGGTGTGAGTGTGTGTGTCTGTTGGGGTGGGCCTGGGGGAGGAATGTAGGTACAGAGCGGTGCATAGATACAAGTGGTTCAGGCGGGAGGACGAGGACTTGTTAATGGTTGGGAGGCGTGGAAGGAAGAAACGAGGACCAGGATGATGATGAGGATGATGAGGATGTTTATAGGGTTTGGCCTAGCGAGGTTATGGAGCTCTCTCCTCGTGACGTGTGGGAGGGCGGTACTTGGACGCGGATCACGCAGCTGACTGAGGCCGACAGGGACGGGAAGGAGGGTTATAGACTTGGGTCAAGGAAGAGGATGGGAGCTGCTGGTGCTGGTGCTGGTGCTGCTCGTGCCGCCGCGTTTCCGCGGTGGACATAAGTGACTCTTTCGTCCTTCCCGTTCCCTTCGCCACATGTATGTGGCTTCTAAGGGGGCGATAAACCCGTGAGCTGTCCATGGTGGTTGTTACACACACGTGCGTGCATTGCACATCGTCGTCGACATCCGAGTTACGAGCCAGATGTCACGAACCGTAACAGTGTGAAGTGAACTGTAACCGTGTAACGAGGAGTCCGATATAAGTATTTGCTTATTGGGGCCTCGGGCTACATGTCCCTGTGTCTCGCCTGCCCAGTCACACGCCACACATTCAAGAGAAGGCTCTTTTGTGGTGGTGAATCTCAGCTGCACAGGGTGGTGAATTATGTGGCGTGATATCACCTGGATGCGGGGTCAGTTGGGGATTGAAGGCAGGGATTGAAGGTTAGGTGACGCGCGCAGTTCGGCTTCTTCGTTCGCCTTGCATTCTGTTGCGTCTGATATGCCGCGGCTTAGTGCCGTCATTTTGTTAATGCGGTGCTTATGAGCGATAGAGGGCCCACCGATGTCAACAAAGCAAGGGCTCAGCAAGGGCTCAGAGCCTCCCAGTGCACCGTAGCAGCAAACCTGCTACTATTATAGTCCTGCTTCAACATTAGATTACATAGGGGTATACACACGCACGTGTCGCGGCTATTCGCCGCACCGTGTTCCCGCACCCTCCCGCGGCCCCCCACATACACGCGCAGCAGACCACACACGCTGGCGCATAAAGCTCAGCATTGTGATCTGGAGCTCTGCCCGAGGTGTGCCAATATGGGTCGTTCCCAACACACCTGTCCTTCAGCTGATAGCGACGCACTTGGGACCAGGGTGGCACAGGGAATGACATCCATCTAACCCTTCACCTCGGCATCTGCCCACTCATGCCACTGGCCTCACCAACAAGCCCACGATACCCCCAGGTCCACAGTCCCATAGACGAGCTGCTGCAGCATTGCGGTTTGCCCCAAAAGGATAACCGTCGTCCGGTGCGCCGGAAGTTGACATCACGCCGGTTCTCAAAACATGTACAGTTTGACAGGCAAGCCAAAATACTCCCAAAACCTCGCCCTACGACATTTCAGGCCCCCTCCCCCAACATTTAGGTCAAAAGAGGTCCTTCCCTGCATGTAAGATCCGTCACTGCCTTCCCCACAACCGCCTTCGCACCCAAGACACCGGATATCGGATGCAGGCCAGCTGGCACGCCGACGAGTGTGTCACTTGACAGAGAGGCAACACCAAACACGGCAACAAGGCACCCCCTGTTGGCCCTCAAAGCATCCTCATCCAATTCGGCCCACATCACAACTCAAAATGTTAAACAAGCGATGCGGCTCAGTCCAGATGACAAACACGGCCCTTCCGACTTTGGAGCAACAATACCATAAGACACGCCCACCTCCACGGACATGCGCTCCCGCGGGAGTTTGTCACAATACCGCTGCTGCCTGTTGTGCGCCGTACCTGCAACCATCCTGTCTACCCGTCACACATCCTTTCCTGCTCGATAATGTCGGAACAGTGACACGCCCCTTGCAACCAGAAGTACTTCTGCTACCAGAAGCCATGCTCACACCTAGGGCCCCACCTCCGCCTTTCCGCCTCCTTGCTGACAGCGATTGCTGCGGGCGCTGGTGAACTGTGTGTCTATGTATGTGTGTGCTGCGTTAAGCTGAACCAAAGGTAGGCATGTAGCGCCTAAGCGGTCCAGCATGACAGCAGACACATCATACACACACACAGCCAGCCAGCAGAGGAAGGCGTCTAGAGGGGCAAAGAACAGCACAGGAGAAGGTCCTCAAGACGGAAAATCCAACCAACTAAGAGGGGAGGGTTGCATGTTTAAAGTCACCCCCGCGAAGCTTACAGTCCTTCTCCAACAGCCCTCCAGACGCTTTGTGTGTCCTTTCACCTGCTGCGTGCCGAACTCACAACACAGTGCACCCCACCACCTCATTTCAAAATGGGTTCAAAAACTAATTCATACCCTCGGAAAAAACCTTACTTAAGCAAGCCGGAGTTGCACGAATGCAAACGACTTCAAATCGCAAAAGCCGGACGTCAAGCTGTTGAAAACAAAACTACACGAGGAGGAAAGGCGACTTGAAGAACCACAACCCGCCGCCGGGTAAGAGCCGGCAGCTTTCGGAACGCCGTAAGTTGCCCCTTATCAATCCTATACCTAATCTCGAAGCCGGATCTCTGCCTGCGCCGCGGCATGGCGCGGACAGAGGCCGGGAGAAGCACAAGCTGAGGGCGGGGCAAATACTACTTGGCCCCTCTTCCCAATCAACAAAACGAGAAGAACCCTCTAAACCCTCTGACTTGACTTGGAGGGAATAGCAACACGCCAGTAAACGACACGCGGGGGTTCCAGCTGCGCGTCCATGAGAGATGCTTCCCATGCGGCGCGGCGAGACAACCCCAGGTTGTGGATTGTTATTGCTCCCTGCCGAATCGTTAACTCGCGAGCTGCATAAGCAGCTATGCAGAGTGTTTTTGAACTGAGCCACAAGAACTGTAAAAGAGAAGGGATAAGAGAACCGATAATGAAAGCAGAGAGGCGTGTGCATATGTTCGGTCGTGTCTCCTTGCGAATCACTGAAACCAATTACCAAAAGGCACCACTACCACAGCCTGTCAGGGAGTCATAATGTAGCTACCAGCTGTTATGCGTCAACTTTCTTCGAGCGCGGCGTCCTACATAGATATTTGTACATCTGTACTAAACTGTACTACACCAACCTTTAGCACAAGTCAAGGCAGCAGATTCATCCCGGTCAGCCTCTAAACCCAGCAACACAAACGTTAAAAAGCACCAAAAAGCGGAAGGGAAGAGAGGAGCGTGAATGGGGAAAGGCAGCAGCGACATTATAGCTGACCAGCCGATACTCCGCCTCAAGCGCGCTCGCTGAATCTTAGGACGCTGAGAAGAACCTGAACGATACCTCGAGGATTAAGCCGCTTGGAAAGGTCAAACCACGTGTGGACAATAAATCAGTTCGTCCAACGCACGCGGAAGAGGGGTTACCCTGTCATTCAGGTAAAGAGTTCACGGGCCAAGGCAACACCACCTGGACAAGGCAAAGACCTGGCTGGCTGGCCGGCTGGGCTGCCTGCCTGGACCTGGCTTACATGACCGAGGGCCACCTCGACTGCCTTCAACCCTGTAAGTGCTGGTGCTCCCGCCCTGAGGAGAACACACCGGGTCCGCAATCGACCTCTTCGGCGTCCTTCCGCGTTCACTGCCTCGTTCCGTGTTTGGGCCCCCCTTCCCCTTCGGCCTTTCCAGTCGCGCAAAGGACTCAGTCACAACAGGGTATTCCAGGTCAGCTGGTGGAGCACCCCTCGAAGGATTCAGCAGGCGAGAGAAAGAGAGAGAGAGATCCTGGTCTCGGCGAAGTAAAGAAATTTAAGCCACAGATGAATCCAGGTTAGGTTAAGGCCGTGTGGCCCTAGAGCTGGCCCTGGCGCAAGAGAGTGCCGCCTAGAGAATGCCGTTCAGCACGCGCTGGTAGTAGTCGTACTGTCGGGTCCTCCAGGCGTCAAGGCTCTCCGCAATCAGCTGCAGTACGTGCTCTACACATTGCACCTCCGTCAGAGAGGTCTGTGGGCGGGCAGGCGGGCGGGCGGGTGGATGGATGTGGATTAGTTATGCTTATGTAAATGGGTGGGTGGGTGGGTGGGTGGGTGAGTAATGGTGCGTGGGTGGAAGCCCAGACGCACTTCTTGGATCACTCCACCACTTGCTGCAACCCTTCACGCTGCATCACAGTTGCTCACTCCCAACGTGATCGCTCCATCCTCCAAGTTGTTCGCATGCCCACTGACGAATTCGTGTTGGGGCACTCACCATAAGCCGCTTCTCCAGCGCCTTTAGCGCCCTCTCGCCTCCTTTGAAGCACGGGAAGCCGCTCTTGGACATGACCTTCACCAGCAGCAGGATGCGGTCGCTGCAGTTGCGAGCTGCGATGAAACCCTGGATCATCAACACCTGCGTGGACACCATCACACGGCGGTACGGCAGTCGCAAGACCACTCCGGACCAGAACGCGCTGTCCTACGATATGGTCGTACAATGGGCCCGGATTCAAGACCAGCACACCATTTGCACAGCACCGCAACGCACCGCAGCGCGCAGGCTGGCTGAGGAAACGGGGCTGGGATTTACCAGCAAAAATGCCGGGGCAACAACATCCCACCCATCGAGGCGAAATTCCAGGTCTGCGGATCGCTGCGCCTCATATAAGATAGGGAGTAGTGTTTTGGCATGGTGGCTCTGAAGCCATCAGCACCAAAACCAAGCCACTCCACACCCAGCTGGTGTGGCCGCACCGCAGCCCCTCCGTACAAACCTCAAGACCTTACAAGCCTGGCGTCCCTCACCAACGTTGGCCCACCTTGATATCCCTCCTGAAAAGCCTCACGACCGCGCAAACCCCCTCGCACTCCTCACCTTGAAGTAGTCAAACATCTCCGAGGGACGGCCGTCGCTGTTTGAGTCCATCACCTCCAACAGCTCCCGGGTCAGCTTGAAGGGCGCCGACTCGAAGTTGACCCCCCCCGGGGAGTTTGACAGCAGGAAGCCGTAGTCGATGTGCACCACACGTCCGTCATCGTCAATCAGAATGTTACCTGCGGCCCAGACAGTACGGAACAGTACGGGAGGATGACGAGATAATACGAGGCGAGGTGGGATGGGATGCGAGAACAAAGATGGTTCGTCCTCAGAATATGAATAAGACCTGAAGATCATGAATAAACAATAACGAACGAAAGCGGGGGACAGAGAGCGAGAGGATTGGAGAGAGAGGGGAAGAGAGAGGGGGAGAGAGAGAGAGAGACCGACCCACCGCGGGTCTGTTTCAATGAACACCGAAGGGTAGAAGTACGCCCCTAACACATTACGCATTCATGGCTCAATCGGCCAATGAGGATATGACAAACTCAAGCACACCTTGCTTTTCTGAGGCGCTGTCCCTCGCTGCTCATCCTCTTCCCCATCCCACACGCACATCCTACATCCCGATAGACCGATGGGAATACCGTCCCACCATCCCCTCGGCCTCAAGACCCCACCTTTCCTCCTCCCACAACTCCTCTGGACCCACCCACCAGGCCCTGCACTTCCTCGTCCCATCACCCACATTACCACCCACCCAACCCCAACAACCCCCAAAATTGAAGATGTTGCCACAGGACAATATCCACAGTCACCAGGGGTTCTCTCCGCCCGCATTACCGTTGTGCCGATCCTTGATTTGCAAAAGGTAGCAAATGAGTGAGTAGGCCGCCAGGCTCTCCGTGAAACGCCGCTGCGCCGCCGTACATTCGGGCGTTCCAGAGCGTCCAAACTTGGCGAAGAAGTGGTCGGATAGGGAGGTCCCGGGTGGGGATCTCGACTTGATGGTATGGATGGAGAGCGTGTTGGGAACCATCTCGATCAGCGCCGTCCTGCAATCACGCGGGGACCGATCAGGGAGAAGCGGTGAAAAGAGCAAGCGCTGAATTTCATAAAACATTGAGAGGACCGAAAAGACTTGTAAATAGATAGGAGTGGGCCGCAAGCTTGGCACTGCACTACCTACCATGCAATACAACGAGCGGCCTGACGCGAAGAGACGTTAAACAACCGACAGGACGAGGTTAAGCAGGACAGGACGAAGCGACGAGGATACTGCGGGACTGTACGACACGTCGTGGAAAACCTAGGCGGCACGTCGTTCCGTTGCAGCTGGAGCCCAGCCCATCTCAGGTCCCCACTTTCCACGACACACAACACACACATAGCTGTTGCCTAAATAAATTGGCCCAGAAGCCTCCCATTCTGTAACGGCAACATTACATAGCTGCTACCCTAGTCCGTGCCCCCCCCCGTCGCATGCGCCCGATAGGTGGCTAGCGCGAGTTTCTTGAACACCTGCCCGCTCCCCAGCAACGGGGAATCGGCTGAGAAACCGAGCTTTATATTAGGGCCTTGTGCCTTAATAGGGAGGGTAGGGCATGTACAGGGTTTCCGGTTTTCCTCTGTCGTAGTGGATGAATGGAGAAGGGCCAGATCAGGCCGGGGATGCAGAGGAGTCTTGTTTCGTGTTTCAGGCTCAGTGCGCAAACTGCGTGACGGAGCCTCGACTTGTAAGAGCGCGCGCGCGGGACGCCTCCCAAGCCCGGAGGAGGAGAGCGGAGCTAGCGGAACTGCGGCTCTGGGCTGCTTAGGAGGGGGCAGAGGGCCCTCGCGCCCCTCTCCCGTCTGCGGGAGAGCGCTTAGGCGGTCTTTCCGTTGTGACTGGGCAGCAGTCACTGGTGGCCCCTGGCCAGTGTCAAGCCCCGTCAGATGCTTGTAACCTTCACACACACACAGAGACAGGCACGCACGCACGCACGCACGCACACACACACACAACAAAAAAACAGACACACATGACACTTGGCGTCATATGGCGACGTCATCACATGTCACCTACTTGTTCGACGTGACGAGGACCTCGTAGTACCTGACCCACAGGGGTAGACCCGCTTCCGAAAAGATGTCGCCAAACGTGCGGACTAGCTGCAGTGCCAAGAGCTCCTAACGAGGGATGATAGATATGGGGGAAAGACGAACCACGAACGAGTGAATAGATATGGGGGAGAGGAGCGGTGCGTAATTACCATATGCGCTTCGATGTGCTCTCATCGCTCATACTCCTCACAACATTACCACCACGGCGGTTTGAATCATCAGCCACCACGGCTGCGTACTAAGGGGTACACAAGCAGTGCTACGTTGCATGCAGAGACGCAGCAAGCAAGCAGCAGCAGCACTGTACTGTAGGGCAAAGGAGAAGTGGCAGAACATCGCGCTCCGAAACCACGCAAGCCGGCCCCGCCACGGTTGATTTCTGCACGCCCATGAACCACGCTGCAATACGTGGTATGTTCCCACGTCTACTGGTATGCTTCCCCCGTCGACACGGCAACCTGGCACCCACCTGCCGACAGTCGTCGCCGCTCTTGACGATGACGCACCGCAGAGCCCAGCCCTGACGGCGACCATGCGGGGACTCCCGCTGGATGCGCTTCACCTTGGCTGCCCAGCGCTCGCCGTATACAGCACGCGCCTCACGCCGCCGCCGCTCCTCCACGGACTCACGCTCGTAGCGCCCTTCCGTCACCTTTGGATGGCTGTACGGCGTTAACTGCGTTAGGGGCGTCGGGGCCGCTGCAGGCGGTTCCCCGCCTGACACTTGCGGCACCTGTCGGGCTTGCTGCTGCTGCTGCTGAGGTTGCTGCTGCTGCGTAGGTAAGGAGAAAAGAGAGGACGATTGCGGTTGCTGCTCCGGCTGCATGCGACTGAGTAGCTTTGACAGCGCGCCGCCGCTCCCACTGTTGCCAGTGTTGCCGCGGACAGGACTGACACCCCGCGGACTGGGGCCGGCCGGCACGTTGGCGCCGCTGCCGCTGCTCGCCGATGCGACGGTGGCGGTAGCGGCGGCGGCGGCCCCCTCTGCAGCAGGCTGTTGTTGCGGCCCCGCTGCAGAGCGGTTGAGAATGCGCGTTATGGAGTGGAAGCTGGCTGCAAGGGCACTGCTGCCTGTAGGCGGCGGTGCAGCCGGCGCGGCAGACCCACCGTCCGAGGCACCCGTTCGCGGCTGTAGCTGCAACGGTGTCCCTTGATGTGCTGTGACCACCATGCCACCTGGAGGTAGAGGCTGGCTATTGCCCCCACCGCTTCCGCCGCCGCTGTTCCTGACGGGGCTCACTCCGCGCGGGCCTGCGGCACCGGAGATGACGGCGTTGGACCCAGCCGAGGCGGTGCCTTGGTTCGATGCCGTCGGCGGTGTTGGGGGCTGCTGTTGTTGCTGCATTTGTGCCGGGCTCCCAGATGCTGGCCCCGCCGTCGACCTACTGAGCATTCGCGTAATAGACTGCAAGCTGGCGGCAATGGCAGAGGTTGGAGCCACCGTGCCGCCAGCAGCTTCCGTGTTCTCTGCCGCTCCTAACCGGGGCTGGAATTGCTGCGACTGAACCTTTGTCTCAACATCACTACCAGCCCCGGCAGCGCCCGAGAGTGACGCGTCCAGCGCCGAAAGCTCCGTGCCCACTACTGAAGCAGCTGCCGGTATTGTATCACGCGCAGAAGAGGTTTGCCATACGGATTCCAAATCTCCAGCGCTGCAGGGCCCAGTGGCGATGGTGGCCGATGCGCTCACCCCCGCTGAGACCTGTTGCTGCTGCTGGTGTTGCTGGGAACTCCCTGCCGAGCGGTTCAGAATCCGGGTAATGGACTGGAGACTGGCAGCAAGGGCGCCGCCGGCAGCTGGCGGTGCCGGAGGCGGGACCCCTGTCCCGCCAACGGCATCCAACGCCAATGCCGTCTTGTCCGAGAGCGGCACCAGCTTCTGAGGCGGACCCACGGGTCGCCCGTTGACATGCTCGCCAGCATTGCTTCCCAGCGCATGCGGTAACGCTATTATGGCGGATTGCGCCGCGTGCGTGTCTCCAGCCGCCGCGTCCGGAAGCTGCCGCATCGCCGCCTCAGCCACCGCTACCGCTGTTGTGCTTTTCCCACATTCTGCAGTCGGATGCGAGGCAGCAGCCGTCGACGACGATAACGCCGATATTGTCCATGCCTCCTGTCCATTGGCGCCATCACGTGGCCCAGCCACCAGCTGGGGAGGCGCAGCCTGGATAACGGCTAGCGGCCGCGCAGCAGCGGTAGTGTCGTTCCTCGACGGCGGCCGCGGCGGATCGAGGACAAGGGTCTTGGTGCCAGGGACGGGGCCGTTCGCTGACTGCTGCGTCCAGCTTGCAGTGATGTTGCCTTCACGCATGCACGCGTGTGAGGGTGCCGTCTTCATTGGGGGCACCACAGCCGTGGACTCAAGTGCCTGCGGCTGCTCGGTCGCGGCCTTCTGTGCCGTAGCTGTAGCTTCTCCTCCTGCGCCCTCGGACTCGTCCTCACTGGTGCGCTCGAGGACTCGATCCATGGCGCCGTGGAAGGAGCCATAAGGCCCCGGAAGCAGCGGCGGGCCGCATTCAGGTGGAGGCGGCAATGTGTGGATCTTGTACTTGTCTGCGTGGCGGTAGGGAAAAGTGACAACAGCCCCAACAGTTTAAGTAACAGCTTCTAGTAATTACAGCGGGATTGCCGTATCAGGTACAGGCGATGAGGACACAAAAAGGATTTTGAAAGGACCTGAAAGCATGCACATAAAACGGTGATGAGAAAACGGCCGTTCAGACTACCGCTTCGACCCCGCCGGATTCAATCCTATGTACGTATCATGCAGGCCGGCTCGCGCAACTGCTCAAAGCGCTGCTGAAGGCCCCCGAAGGAGGCCATAAGGTGGCTGTGTTTTATACCACCAGGAGTTGCGTTACCCATTCAAGAGCCCATACGAGCCCCCGGGGTCCTAAGGGATCTGGGGGATAAAAGCTAAACGAAGAAAATATCTTACAGGAAACGCCGCAGAAGTTACCTGTTCACCCGTTATTACAGAGCCTCCATTTCAACGGCCATTCTGGACATGCTCGCATCAGTAAAATCCAGCTAGTGCCAATTCCAAATGCGCCGCCCGCGATGGATGTGCCCGTTCGTTCGTAGCCGCAGTCTGTATCATCCACACACTCTGCCCAGGCCCCCACGCCGTCCAACACCCATAACAAAAAGAGATGGCCACCCCTCCCCTTACCCCTTGAAACGTACCTGCCATCATCTCAATCGCTTCATGCGACGGCGTTCGGCGGCTCTTTCGATGCGGCGATTTGATGTCTAGGTTGACGCTTTGCGTCGCCACGCTAAGAATGAGCCTGACCAATGGCGGCTCGGTGCCGCGCGGGGTACTGCCAGGAAGCCGCTTCGCCCCGGCCAGTAAGCCACCAACCCCGCCGCCGCCGCCGCTGCTGGTGACGGGAATTGTCACCTGGGACGCGGCGCTGTGTTGCGGGGCCGTAGCAGGTACCCCGGCCATTGGGCCGATAGCGCCAGCACCAGCAGCGGCGCCAGCACTAGCATCACCTGCTTCGACCTCTGCAGACGGCTTCCGACACCATCCCAGGCGTGACAACAGCAGCGCAGTCTTGCTTTGCCCACCCTCCGCCGCGTCATCCGACGCTGCCGGTTGGGGTTGTGACTGCGACTGCTGGTTCAGCAGCGCAGCCTTGGCGCGGCTGCCCAGGGTGGCAAGCGAGAAGGCCATAGGGCCGCTGCCGATGCTGCTGCCGTTGGCGCCGCCGATGCCGGGACCGGCGGTGACGCCATTTGTCCCCACAGGCACAATCCTCACTCGGACCATAGGCATCTCACCGCGCAGAGAGGCGGAGATGTCTGACAGCATCGCCATGACCTCAGGCCCAGATTTGATGCCCGAGTGCGGGCCAAACATCCCTGCATTGACAATGACAGCGACACAGCAGATACGCGGCCAACGGGCCGGTGGTCAATTGCGGCGGCACACCGGGAGGAGAGTACAGGTGAGTAAAGCCGAAAAAAATATAAAGTGCTACTTGTGAACGGCAGGGCGCATGCGGCAGGGACCAGCAGCCAAGCGCTTGAACGCATTGTGTACACGCTTAGTGGGCAGCGGAGAGAGACTGAGAGAAAAGGCTGTTTTAGAAACGGCTAAGAATGCACCTACATCTCCGAAGGTGCAGAGCTGGGAGACATGGACACGGCGGAAGCAATCAAACTGCAGTCAACGTCCCATTGGGGGTTATAGTGGCTTTTGGCTTTGCCCTCTTCGGTCTGCATGCACCTGATGAGTAGAACTCCTGCATCCTGCCATCCGCCGGGTGTGTGCCAATCGACAGCGGGGGTAGCGCCGCCGCATGCCCACTTCTTCCTGCATTGGAGCCCGTAGGGACCTGACGCGTCAGATGCGATACCAGGGGTCTGCTTCCCAATTCCAACGCTGCGGCAACGGTCGCGGGAGGGGTCGACGCTGTAGCAGCGGCGGACGCGATGGGTCCCCAGCGTTGGGGCTCCACCGCGCTGAACTTGCCATCCAGCGACCTACGATCAACCGGAGTTTGGGAAATGTTCAGGTAGCTCCAGGGTTGGTCTCGGTTAGGGTTCCGGCAGGTGGCAACACGGCGGGAGACGGAAGGGTAAGGAAAGATTGGAGCCAGCAGCAGGAGACGTTCGGTGCTGTCTGGCTGCCTGGTTTCTGGCTGCCTGCTACTACAAACTTGGTGACGGCCTCATTTTTCACCAATGTTGCAAGAAGGATGCTGCGCACGAGGGCTACTACGCGATGTTACGTACGCCTAATGAGGAACGATATGAGTTTATCGGCCATCAGAAAGGTTTTGTTGTCGTGCCCCACGCCATGCCATGTCGCGCCATGCCGTCTGGCCCCAGATGTGTCGGCGCATTCGCGGCAATGCGGTCCCAGATGAAGCGAGCCAGGGCCCGGAGATGAAGCACACGCCATAGCTGCAGCCCACGCATAACTAACATTAATAGGATGTGAGGTGGCTCGCCGGGAGCTACACTAATGGATCTTTAACCTGGCGGCTCTTGGATAATGCCAACAAGGGTGGCAGTAAGGATCCCAGCAGCGGCCTCGCCAACATAGGCAGAATCAGCGTGGCCAAAGCATTCAACAACGGGCCAGTCGCAATTGCGCTGACAAGCACACCCAGTCCAAATGTGCTCAGGAGCCCGCAACGATGTAGCGCGACACGTTGCCCGTATCTATTTTTGGGGAGTATCCATAAACCAATAGCGGAAATAAAAAGAGAGGAAAAAATGAAGCTAAGTTGCCAAATGGGACTTCGAGCGCTTGTCTCCCCATGAGACTCGTGCCACGTTCTCCACCCACCTTACAACGCTGTCATCGCCTCCAGACACGGGCTCATCCTCGCCCGCCGCCGCGGCTGCCGCCTCCGCCCGGTCGCCAATGACCCTCCGTAGCAGGTTACTTGCTGCCAGTAAGCACTCCTGCCCCGCGTCGCTCGCAGAAACCTCCTTGGCCGCGTTAACGGGGCTGATACCGCCGAGCGGCAACGGATGGTGGTGGTGGTGCTGCGGCGGTGGCGGCGGCTGCAACGGCGGCGGCGGCGCTGCAGCTATCGACGATGGCGGTCGCGGCGGCAGGCCTGGCAGCGACGAAACGCTCCGCGGCGTTAGTGGCTGAAGACCACCCAAGCTACTTCCGTAGCCGCCTGCGCCCGCGTCGCTGCTCCGGCATGAGGCACTCAGGATGGAGTCCGCTGTCGCGCCACCGCCGCTGGCGGAGGCCGTCATCGCCGCCGCCGCTGCCGCTGCGGCAGCGGCGGCAATGTTGCTACTTGAGACGCTCCGTGTCGGAATGACCACCTCCGTAGCCGCCTGTTGCGGCACCGCAACGGGGGCTGAGGGCGCTGCGATGCTTAAACCGGGGCCCGGGCTCGGACCAGAGCCAGAACCGGAGGAGCTTCGGCTTGCTGCCAGACCATTTGCTGCCAGACCATTGGCACAGGGGCCCGTCGCCGTCGCCTCTGCCCCAGTCTCCAGCGCGCTGCATCGTGCCGCCGCCGCTGCTGCCGCCGCCGCTGCGGCCAGCTCGTCCAGGAGGGCCGCTTGCGAAGCCGATGTTGCTCTCGTTGGCGTAGGAGACACCATCGTGTCACTGCGGCCTTGCATGCATACGTTTGGCTGGACGGCACCTTCACTCGCGCGCTCCCGTGGTGCAGACGCAGCGGCCGACAACGCGGCGTCGAGCGATGGCCGGCCAGAAGACCCTCCTGCTACGCCTCCGATCTGCGGTAGAATACAAAACATAGCATATAGCATACAACGCGCAGCCGCCGTCGTTTCATCGTATGCTTCTTGGTTTCTTTTGTATGTCCTCTTGCATACTACGTGCCATGCGGCATGCGCTCAAGGTGGTGGAAGATACGTCCCACTAAGGCAAAGAGTGCGGACCAGGTGGTTCGCGGACAGGTGGGCCATCAGCGAGCCCCATACACACAGCCTTCTAATCTAACATGCACTTTCCCCAAGCAAGCCTCAACCCCCCGTGATCTGTGAACCCAAAATGTATGCGACGATTTTTACTGTCAGGGCCCTGATCGTCCAAATGCAACGCTGCATGAGAAGTATCTGCCCATTCGAATCCCCTGCCCAGCGACAGACCCCTTGCTCCGTCAACCTCCGGCCCTGTGTATGCTCCTTGCCCTATCTAACCTGATTCCTCTTGTCCGAAACGCCGTTCTGCTTCCCCGCCTCCGCTATCGCCTTTGAAGATGCTGCGGCCACTGCAGCTACGGGCGCAGGCGTCGAATGCATGAACTGCTGCTGGTGCTGGGCACCTAGCCCCGTCAGCGCGATACCGTATGTCTCCCGCCTCCCAAACTCCACTTTCTGTGCCGAACCTGGCGCCATAGTGGAGGCACTCAGGCCAGTGAGGTTAAGCGAATCTAAGCGCGCCGTGGAGCCTGCACCCATGGCAAGCCCATCAAAGGCGTCCGCCCCATCGCCCGCATCGTCGCCGCACTCGTTCTGGCCCTCCAGCACCTCTACAATGAGCAAGAAAGGCGCCTGCGGAAGGGGCAACAGAACGCCAAAAACATGCATGCATTACACACGCATTCCGCAGACACACATACGAGTGATGCGCACACGTATCGTCCACGCAGTGTGAACACCACCCGTATGTGGTGATGCACTATAACGTGCACCAACAACAACGAAACAACATACAAACGCGTAAGCACGTGCGCGCGGATGTTGGACCTCCCTTTGTTTTCTCTTCGCGACTCCATTGGAAAAACCCTCGCCTATACTAGCTTGTACCGTGCCCAACCATGCCCAAAAGCCCTTCCCGAGCCCCACTGTCATGCCATTCCACGCCATGACACGGTACCCCATGTCACGACAGGGTACGCCGTCCCTTCTCACCTTCTCTCGGGAGTTCAGCAGCACAGCCTCCCGGGCGGCCAGCCGGAGCACCCGATCGCCTCTCCGTCCCATAGGAAACCAGATAGCCACCTCGCGGCGGTTGGCCCGCTCGATTTCCTGGTTGATGTGTTCCAACGCCAACCTCAGCGCGTTGTGCCGCACCTCCTACAGAACCAAAACAAAGCAATGCCTGCAATTAATAGCCCCCCACCCGGTTTTCCAACAAACATGAGCCACGTGTGCTGCGTCGACTCCAGCCAGTAATGCGTAACCTTATTGTCGAAGGACCCGAGGTACATGGAGGCCCGGAACGCTGCCGATGTGCTGGACGTCGTAGGAGAGGAAGATTGACAACAGACAGTACAACGGTGTGTGTGGGGATGTTGAGAGAGGAGGGAGAGGCGAAATCAAGCGCAACTACAGAAATTTGAGGGGGCCGCCAGTTGCTGTGGACATTGAACCTTCGGACCGAATAACGAAGGACGTTTGGAGGGATCATCCATTTGTGTCTCGACCAGACCAGGAAGGACGGCCGCCCGTGAACCGAGTTATGATGAGGGGCGTAACCGGCGTTGGTTTGTAACGACAGCAGGAGACAATTCAGCAAGCCAGGCAATCCAGGCAAGCCCAGCGCGATCCGCCTCCCCATTATATGACCGTTCCTCATGGCCCGTGGATTATCCACCAAACGGAACCTGCCTGCGAGTAGTTCGTTAACGAGGAAGATGCGTCGCACAGCGTTTCTACAAAATCCAGTGTTGCGCCAAACGTGTCGAAACGCAGCTGTGACAGTGGCGACATCGGCCGATTCGTTAGCTCGTCGTCGCTTAATAGCGCATCCTCTTCCATCGTCGCCACCGGTGCCATGCCCTGCTGTTTCACGCGCTCCAGCAACGCACTGACACGCTCTCCCTCTCCCAGTTCGCGTTTCAGTGCCTGAATACGCTCCATTATGCTCACCGCCGAAGCCGCGGCAGTAAGGCTGGGCGGCCCGCACGGCGGTGTGATTGTCGGCCGACCGCGTCCCGCCGCAGCGGCTATAACCCCAGTCGCAGTAGAAGTCGCACCCGCAGGTGTCGGCCCGTTAGCTGTTGGTACTGCTGCTGGTGCTGCTACTGCCCCCGATGTAGCTGCGGGAGCTGAGGCTACTTCGCCGCCTGGGACTCCAGCTAAGACATCAGTGATGTCGCCATTCCGTGGAGTCACACATGCTGACGTTTTTATTGCTGGCGCGAGGGTTTCTACCCCCTTCTCATCCAACCAGACTGACCTGCCGCCGTCCAGACCTTGCACAGTCATGGGCTGCAGCTGTAGCTGCTGCTGTGAAGCCGGCGCAGTCGGCATCGCGGCTAAGTTCGTCCCGCCACGTTGATCCGCCGGCAGCAGACACGCGAGTGTCTGCATTGCACCGCTCCTCTTCCGCTGCAGAGTGGCAGGTGCGCTGCCATCGCGGTCAGCAGCCTGCTGGGCAGTAGCACACCCTAGGTTGGCGGTATTCGCGGCGCCGGGTGGGGACATGACCATGCTGCCGGGCGGCTGTGTGGCGACGCTGTCGTCGGGATAGCCCGCGTTTGGCAGGCGGTACGGTTGGGACGGCAGCGGCTCGCGGCCAACGTGGTTGGCGCTGGCAAGGTGGGCTGCCATATAGGATGACGTAGGACTGCAGAAGGGCGGGCTCAACTGTTGGCTGTTGTGGGGGCTGAGCGGATCCAGCTTCGCGGTGCGGATGGGAACCTCCTGAGGGTAATACAATACAAGCCGAGGAAATGGGGACGGAGGCAACCACACGTATGAAAGGGGCTGGTGTCCGGTTGCTGGTGTCCGGTTGCTGGTATCCGGTTGCAACGTGGGAATGGACCAGTTGAGTTTTGGTCGCTGTTGCTGCCGCCGGCAATCGGCCTTTCGTGGTGATGGGCGTGGATGGTTTGGGGAAAGTAATTTGCATTGCTTCAAGTGCGGCTGTGTAACAACCCTATACTCATGCAAATACAGGCGAAATCGAAGAACTGGCGCCTACACTGCAGGAGACAGATACCAAATGGTGGCGTCATAGTAATGCCCACACTCGGGTCAAGAACGCACCCATTTGCCCTCCAGGGCTCCTTTGCTAGCCTGGTCCTTGAAAGACTCCAAGGCTCTGTTCTTGGGGTGGTCCTGACATAGCGCGACCAGCAGCCATTGCACCTGCGTCGAAAAACGTTACGAATATATGGAAAGCAGGCAGCTGGTCGTCGCCCCGAAACGCGCCATCGCCACGTAGTGCCATCCCCTCTCGTTTCCAACAGTATACCACACCGCTCTTGCCTTGATAGCGACACGAAACGAGTGTTTGCAAAGAGTTAACAGAATACGCTCGAGGTGTTGTCCTGGCTTGTTCACGGCGAGGTAAACGAACTGCAGCAGATATCGTTCGATAGTTGCCTCTCCCAGCTCCGGAAGCCGATTGCATATGTAATCCTGGATTCCAGTATGCGTGCTCTCATGCAAAAGCCTGCAACGAGGCAAGCCATGCGCCGTGAGTCAGCCCCTCACAGTCCTATAGGCCTCCAAATCCAAAAACTGACCTTAAGGCCGTCCACTCATCTAAGCGTGCGCCCTGCAGGGCTTTGAGGAGAGCATCACTCCCACCCTTGCCGCTCACAGCTTCGCCGGTCGTCACTGCACCCTTGTTTAGCGGCCGAAACATTATATCATCCGGTTTCCATGTGCAATTCTTTAGCAGAGACAGAGTATCATTCCGGAAATCCCTCCTAGGGTCTCGTCAACCATCAGCAATGGCTCACAGTCCGTCTAACAGAATAGTCAGAACCAGATATGCTCCATCATTATTACACATACCAATATCTATTTGTTGATTCCTTATTAAAGCCTTTGTGATGAGCGACAATCGCTTATTCCCTGTGAGCTGGAAAATGAACCGCTAAAAAACTTAGCCGTATGTATTGATGAAACTTCTTGTGGGTTCAGGTTTACGAGAATCAGTCTACCTCATGGCAGGACAGGTGACCGAGCTGCCGGACGGACATACGTCCTGTACATCGCCGGACAGCCGCCTGCATTGCCCTTTTAGCCTGCCCTGCTCCTTCGATGCAGTGGCTGCGTGCAGATAATAAAAAACCGAAATGTTTATAAAAGCGTTGTGTTAATACAAAGCGCATAGCATTGTTCTGCTGCAAGGAGACCTGACGTTGTCTGACGAAGGTTGTGAACCTGCCGGCAACCGGCCAGCATCGCCAGATAAATGCAACTAAGCGGTCGACTTTCCCAACCTTGCACAACGATGTCTAGAGGCGGAGCTATGCAGTTTGCGCCGTTTCAACATCCGCTTCCACTCCGCCGATGCTGCGCCCACCAAGTCTCGGAATGGCGTCAGCATGAGCGTTGCATTCGATGCAGGAGCACCGATTCGGCTCAGGCTCCCGCAGCGCCAGGAAGCACTGCTGCTACGACTTCCCTGCCTCCACAGCTCGTGCCCCCTACGGATCCCTCTTCCTCCTGCGTCCTGAATTTCTATCACCTTACCCCCCTTGAAGATCCCCAGGCGGTAAGGACTTCTCATTAGTGAACTTTGAAAACAACTTCGTGACTTCCAGTTGCTTAAGTCCAAGCGTACAGCGGCAGCTGAGCCCCGAATGGCACGGAGCTTGCTCTGGTGACACCTCACAGCCAAGCCCCCTCCCCCGTTTCCTGGCCCCTTTCCGACCCCGGCTATGATCCCGCAAACCCCCAGACAGTCGAGCAGCACCGACAGCTCATAGAGAGACTAGGGTTGGACATCCGCGGCCGCATCTACATATCCTCGCAGGGAATTAATTCACAGTGCGGCGGCACGGTTGAGCATGCGACGGCCTATGCTGAATGGATCAAGCAGCAACCAGGTTTCCAGGTGGGTCACGAGTCGGGTTTGCCCGGCTTCTCCATCGGTGTATTTTCACAGCTCCGTTCTAACCAGCGGACCCCTAGGTCAGTTGCATTCATTCTTCAGCGCCGCCACCAACAGCTTCCCTTCTACAGTTTATCTCCAATTCAGAAGCGGCGGCTGTGAACAGGAAGTTGTACACGACACTGCACAGCCCCACTCTGTATTGTGCAGTCATTCAGTCGTTCGGTTCGCTTCGCTTCCTGCAGGGCCTGCGCTACACGCTATGGCCCGCGGACGGCCATGCCTTTCCCAAGCTGCGCCTCAAGCACAAGCCCAACCTGATCAGTCTTGCTGGGGGAATGGAGGGCCTGCCCATCACCGACCCCGCCGCGCGCGCCACGCCGCTGGAGCCCAGCAAGTGGAAGGAGATGATAGCCCAATCGCAGGTGATCGGGAAGGTGAGGAGAGAAAACCTCCCATGGGTCCTGCCTTGCCCATGATGCTTTTGAGCTGCCTTCTCACATTTTATGCCTTAAACAAGCATGATGAGATAGCGTTTCCCTGGGATTTCCCGTGTGCCTCATCAAAACCCAAGCGCAACATCAGGATCCTCAGCAATTTGGCACAGGTATCGTACTCGCACATACCCTTCGTCAGCGGACGCCTCCTTGTCTGCCCTGCCGTGCCATTCGAGCAGATGCCTTATGGACGGAAGAGGAAACGTTCCCACGGCAAATTTGCGCGTGTGACACCCTAAGCAAATTTCTTTTCTTGATTCGGTCCGTTAAAGTACAGATAGGAGCAATGCTGTATACGGTTATCTGGAAGGTCCCCCTGGAGTGGGGCCGACCAGCCGAACGGAATGGGAGGGAGTGGTCGCCTTCATGTTCCCTCGTCCGATCGTAGAACCTCCGGACTTCACAACCCTGCTGGCAGTGCAAAAGTGGTCGGATCAGCCGGGCAGTCAAAAACACGCTCGCTGCGCAGGCGTTTCTTAGGGACCACAACATCATTTGTGCCTTGTTTGCTTACCCAAGCGGCTTTTTCGACCTCGTGCTGTAAGGGTCAATGAGCAATGCAACAGCTACGTGCAAACAGGTCTCCCAAGTTAACTCAGCGTTCATATGCCAGCCCTACCCCGCCTGTGGTCGGATCAGCCTGAGCTGTGCACATTACCATTGCCGCGTGGGCTTTTTATAGCGTAACCACAAAAGAAACCAGCGCTTTGTTTGCTTACCCAAGCGGCTTTCTCGACCTCGTGCTGTAAGGGTCAATGAGCAATGCAACAGCTACGTGCAAACAGGTCTCCCAAGTTCATATGCCAGCCCTACCCCGCCTGTGGTCGGATCAGCCTGAGCTGTGCACATTACCATTGCCGCGTGGGCTTTTTATAGCGTAACCACAAAAGAAACCAGCGCTTTGTTTGCTTACCCAAGCGGCTTTCTCGACCTCGTGCTGTAAGGGTCAATGAGCAATGCAACAGCTACGTGCAAACAGGTATCCCAAGTTCATATGCCAGCCCTACCCCGCCTGTGGTCGGATCAGCCTGAGCTGTGCACATTACCATTGCCGCGTGGGCTTTTTATAGCGTAACCACAAAAGAAACCAGCGCTTTGTTTGCTTACCCAAGCGGCTTTCTCGACCTCGTGCTGTAAGGGTCAATGAGCAATGCAACAGCTACGTGCAAACAGGTATCCCAAGTTCATATGCCAGCCCTACCCCGCCTGTGGTCGGATCAGCCTGAGCTGTGCACATTACCATTGCCGCGTGGGCTTTTTATAGCGTAACCACAAAAGAAACCAGCGCTTTGTTTGCTTACCCAAGCGGCTTTCTCGACCTCGTGCTGTAAGGGTCAATGAGCAATGCAACAGCTACGTGCAAACAGGTATCCCAAGTTCATATGCCAGCCCTACCCCGCCTGTGGTCGGATCAGCCTGAGCTGTGCACATTACCATTGCCGCGTGGGCTTTTTATAGCGTAACCACAAAAGAAACCAGCGCTTTGTTTGCTTACCCAAGCGGCTTTCTCGACCTCGTGCTGTAAGGGTCAATGAGCAATGCAACAGCTACGTGCAAACAGGTATCCCAAGTTCATATGCCAGCCCTACCCCGCCTGTGGTCGGATCAGCCTGAGCTGTGCACATTACCATTGCCGCGTGGGCTTTTTATAGCGTAACCACAAAAGAAACCAGCGCTTTGTTTGCTTACCCAAGCGGCTTTCTCGACCTCGTGCTGTAAGGGTCAATGAGCAATGCAACAGCTACGTGCAAACAGGTATCCCAAGTTCATATGCCAGCCCTACCCCGCCTGTGGTCGGATCAGCCTGAGCTGTGCACATTACCATTGCCGCGTGGGCTTTTTATAGCGTAACCACAAAAGAAACCAGCGCTTTGTTTGCTTACCCAAGCGGCTTTCTCGACCTCGTGCTGTAAGGGTCAATGAGCAATGCAACATTGTTGCTTTACTTATCCTGGCTTATTTCACGCTTTCAGCTCTTAAGGCAATTCGGAAAACCTGTGTCATGCTTGGGCTCTTTATGGCCTTCTCGCTTTCTGCTGTTTTTGCTACTGGTGCCACTACCCGTAACCCATGAACCACGCTGCTGATGTCATCGGCATACCTCACTATCCAACACCGCACCCCTACACCCAGGAAAAGAAGATGGTGGTTCTTGATGTGCGCAACGACTACGAGTGGGATGCGGGTCATTTTGAGGGCGCAGAGCGGCCCGCTGAGGAGATCTTTGCTGAGACACCCGTGGGCGAGGGCGAGCAGGAGGTGCCGGTCTACCTCCAAGAAGTGGACAAGGATACGCCCGTGCTGGTAAGCTTTGGGATGTTTCGGTTTGTTGTGGGGCTTAAAAGCAAGAGGCATGAGTACCATCCTCAACCTGGCCAGCTAGTTTCGTGGACAAGCCGAACGGGGTAGCGTGGGTAGGAGCCCGGCCCTGGCTCAGTCTCCGGCAGAATGTGCGCGGCTCCGTGAAAACCGCCAAGGGTCGCAAACACCTGGCGTTTTCTAACACACTGGGGAATAGCATCATGCTGGGGGGCGACGATATAAGGGCTTGAGGCTATGCTGGAGAAATGTGTAGTAGTTGACGCTTTTGACGTTGCGTGCGTTGCTCTGCTGCGACCACCGCTGCTGCGGTGGCGAGGCGGCGGCGGTGTTTTTGTGTGTTGCAGATGTACTGCACTGGTGGCATACGATGCGACGTGTACTCGACGTTCCTTCGGCACAAAGGCTACAACAATTTGTACACGCTGGAAGGCGGTGTGCAGAATTACCTGCGACAAGAGGGAGGGGCGCATTGGAAGGGCAGCCTCTTCGTGTTTGATGCGCGGATGGCCATTCCCGGCTCCCATTCAGGTATGGAACGTACGATGGCATCGCTATGCATCGCTATACATCGTTATACAGTCCGCCCGAGTGGCCGGTGCCGCACCAGTCTTCCCGAAGGCGCTGCAGCACAGTACGGCGTTTCTAGTCAGCAAAAAAGGAAGACAGCTTCGTCGAACCCAGCACGTGTACTTTCCCTGTGATTTTGCTTGGGTGGCTTCGCAATACGGACATTGAACGCATTACTTGTTAGGTTATTAGCAGAACGGCTAGGAATTGCACCGCGCAGGTTTTTCTTCGCCTTGGTGCACATTAGCACTGGTCTGGGGCTTTGCCCGCTCGCATGTTCGCCTTCGCTGTTTTCGCCCACTCTGTTCTTACCTTCAGGCGACGCGGACGCGAACCTCCCGGTCTCCGCGCCCCGCGCGGGTGTGACTGCAGAGTCGCGCGCGCTGCCCGCGGCCGTGCCTTGCTCGCTGTGCGGCTCCCCTGACTCGCAGCTGCCTCATGTCAATTGCGCCAACATTGATTGCAACGAGCTCTTCATCGCGTGTGCCGCCTGCAAGGCGCTGTTAAATGGATGCTGCTGCGAGGCATGCATGGAAGCGCCCAGGCTGCTGCGCCCCGCTAAGGTGGACGGAGGTCACTACGGTGCGTGATCACGGGATACCTGGCCACCTGTTCAATTTAGCCTAGAGGCCCTGCCAACCCGCATCGCTGTTTTATTGGCGGAGATTTGGTACGCATGGGATGTTAATGCAGTAAAATAATATTACCTACTGAGTGCTGCGACTATTACGTTTGTAAGATGTTGGAAACAGTAGGAAATCTGTGTACCCTGGCAACCATATGGGCTTTGACGGTCTTTTAATTATGGGTTGTTGCTGCTTCACTTGCAGCTGGGCCGTTGCCGTTGCCGTTGCCTTCCAACTTGGAGGTGAGGATGCCATCGCTTTTTTGTATTGCACTTTTCCTGTCTGCATGGAAGCAGGTGCGTGGGGCAACTACGCGGACCGGGATGAGGTGGGACCCGTCATATCCCAGGGCCGAACGCGTGAGGGCCGCGTGGCGCGTCGAGCGCGGCGGCGGGAGGCCCTCAAGGAGAAGCGCATGGAGTTTGTGGCGGAGAAACTAGCGCGAAAGAAGATGGTGAGGAGTGAGTTGCAGTATTGCCGTAAAAAAAGCTTCGTCGCAGCATTTACGCAGTCCATCTTCTGTTTGCTGTTAGTAATAGTCCGTAATAGCGCCTAGTTGATGCGGTTTGGCACTTGGTCCGTCCCGTCCGTCTTAGCAAAATGGACCGGGCCGGTCAAAGAGAGCGAAGTCGAACCGGCCAGGTTACTGGATCGTGGTATGGAAGCACACGGCGGCCGGGTGCTGCTTTGACCTGTCTGACCATCTGGGCTCAGCTGTTGGGGTTAGCTGATGTATGGCTCGGGGCTGAACACCAAGAGCAAGAGCGACCTGGTCTGTCGGGAATACTGCACTGCAGCCGTAGAGCGCGGCTGTGCATAAAAACGTGTGTTTGCTGCTCTTCGGTCTACGATGACGGTGTTTCCCCGTTAGCATGGTTGAGGGTTGTCGCACTTTTGGTGTTTTTTGTGCGGCCGTTGCTTGTGCGTGGCAGGTGCGTGAGGCCATGGCGCGTCTGGAGGCTCTCGAAGCACAAGCCGATCACCCACAGCCGACGGATGCGGAGCCGAAGGCGCGGCAGATGGCTTGTGCGCCATAAACGGTGCGAAGATTGGTTCCCCTTTTTTTTCTGGACAACGGACAACCGTTTTTACAGCGCTGCTTCCTGAGGCACGACGCTCTCGAGTGCGTAGCAGATTGGTGTCTTCCGTCCAAATATGTTGCATGAAAACAGGAAGTGATGATGTGCTATGACTTGTTTTGCGCCATGCCTTGCTATATGCCATGTGCGTACTGTAGAGTCGATATTAACAACGACAACAACAATTCGAATGTACTGCCGTACCATGGTACTGCTGTACGGCTGCAGGTTGTACCAGCTGGCGTACCAGTCCTTGCATCGCCCGCAATCCTACCTGCGCTCGGGGAGCCCCTACAACGCCCTGCCGCGTACCAACTGCTCTAGACAAAACCGAAGCCGAAACTGCAGCTACAGCAGATGCAGTTGTACTGGAAGTAGCAGCTCAGGAAGCGCAGGCGCAGGTGCAATACTTTGACCCCGAATATCTAGAATGGGATGTACGGCTCGTAAGCCAGCTCTGGTGGGGCGTCGCCCATGGCGTCAGCAAGAGCCTCCCCCCTGGAGTGAGAGGTGTGGTTGAAGAGCGGGAGGAAGGAAACGCGCCTGCGTGCCCAGGATGAGGAGGATCAGAGGCGAGGTCAAGTAGCTGCCATCACCCTCGCCGCTGCAGCGCCGCCGGCTGCCCTCATCGCACATGAGCCCACACTCTTCTATGCCCCATGCTGTCCACGAGTGGTGTACGACATGATTGTACGGCACAACTTGGCGGTAGGCGCGCTGTGCAACGTAGCCTTAGTGGGCAACAGTCCCAAGGCGCAGGCAGATACGGCAATTCCGATGAGGGCTTTCGGTGGTGGCTTCGGTAGCGGTTGCAAGCCGAGGGCGGCTGGTGTCGGCGGCATCGGCAAGGGATTTTCCACGGCTGCTGGCAGTGGTGGGATGGGATTAGGGCAGGCAGATACGGGATTTAAAGGCAATGGGCAGGGTGAGGAGGCGTTGGTAGATCTCGTAGCGTGGGGTCGAGTGGTGGAGGTTCTGCTGCCGGACTTTGCAGCGCATGGGGGTGCAATTGTGATGCATTTATTTGTGTGATGAGTGACGAGTGATGGGGCGCGCTCAGGTGCGCAGTGGTGGGGCGCGGGAGGGGTATAGCCGGGAGGGCGAACTGCTTGTGTTTGTGCCGCTGACCATGTGTGTGGGCGTGAGCGACTTCGTCGTCAGCTTCATCATCGTCGGCATGTGGAGTGGTATCGTCAGCTGCCCCATAAGCAGCAGCGGCGGTTTACTTCGGTTTCCGAGGCAGTTCACGCTGAACGAACTAAACCCGAATAACAGTCCTTACTGACTTGTGTAAACGAAAGGGTTTTGTCATGTGTAAATTTCCTTGTGCTTTCGCCGTTAGCGCTCTGACAGAGGAGAAGATCCCTGGGGTGACCATGGTAAGTAGTGGCCTTGGCACCCTACGGAGTCGGTTAACAGCGGATCGGAGGTTTGCGGCATAGCACTAACCACTTCAACTGCTCCCAATCCTACGAAATCTCCCAGTACCCTTGGCTGGAGCAGATCAACAGTGAGCTCAACAGCCTTTCAAGCCCGTGCGCAGTCAGATGGCGCAGGACAACTTCATGGCGGCTGGTACTGGACCTCATAAATGAGATGCATTAGCTGTGCTAGAGGAAAGGCGGTCGCATTTTGACAGTCTTGGCAGGTGATAAGGCTAGTAAGAGTCTCTCAATTGGCTGCATTGTGAGTGGATGTACACACACCACGGCGTGGCTGTGCCATGGTTTACTGTCTGTAACTGCTGTAAACTCAACGCCATATCGTTACAAGCAGCGTGCAGTGCATTGGACTCAGATGTCATCAAATCCTCCACGACATTAAGCGTCAAACACTGCATTCCGCATTTTACCCAATTGGCCTGGCCAGGCTGCATGCTTCACTGGGAGCCCGTGTGGAGCCCTGTGTCCTTCACAGCCGGCTGTCAGGTGCTAACCACCTGCCTGCCACAGTGCTGCCACCGGTCAGCCGGCAGTGGTGCTACCGTTGATAGCTACAACGTCCTGCTCAATGGGGTAATAATTAGCTGAGCAGGAGTTGCTCTACACATTCAAGAGTCAAGATGCATGCTCTTGCTACCATGGAACTGCTGCGACATCCGCTAAAGCCCGCCTTGGCCTCATTGTTGAGGTTGACAGGCCAGGTACAGGGCCCGAGTCGTACATTGCACATCCTGGACAAGGCCAGTGAATGCCACATCCCTATCACTCCTTCAATCACAGTCACTGGCTGCGACGCTGCAATGGTGCTCCACAACCCGCGATTTGATACCTACCAGTAGCACCGGTTCCTCTCCACTGCCTCTCTCCTGCTGCCCTGGGGGCCCGCCTTGTCACCTACATCCAGCATGCAGCGATGACCACAAAGGAGACCCAGTCGATGAGACCCAGTTCCTAGCTCTTCCTCACCTTGCCGCCCCATGGTGTATGAAGGCATACCGGGACTGCCTGCAAGCCAACCGACCAAGACCACAGCAGCATAGTCTGCCAACTGGACATATGTGCCGAGCAGGTAGCCCAGAGGTAGCCACTGGCAGGTAGCCCATGGCATGGCCACAGCTTACGATCGCAGAGATCCACGGTGTTCACAAGTGCCGTTCCCGTGATGTTCCGTCAAAAGCCTTGATCAGCAGGAGGTTCGTCGTAGTTTATCTCCACAGCCGGTGCGGAACTGTTGATTGCCGCCTCCTTGCGCACTATCGTGCTGTTAACGTTATTTTTTTCCGTCATCTGAGACCTGTACTGTGCAGCACGGTGAGCGCCGCCTGCGTGTATGGCAGGTACATACTGGAATACTGGGAGATCATAATTTCAGATAAGTACCGGTGGGCGGAGGTTAGAATCCCATGATACGCCCAGGACACTACAATTAACCCCCCTCTAGCTAAGGCCGCAGGTCGGACCGCCCGGGCTTGATTCAAACCCGGGTCGGGACATGATTACCGGTCTCGATTCCAATTATTATATCACGGTTTCATAAAAGTACCTATGGCGGTATATCTAAGTCTTTCTAGATACGTCCGCGATACTACAGGAATGTACACTGGCTAGGGTGTGAAGGAATTCAGTGCACGGACATGGGTGCCATACGACCTGCCTGGTGATTTGCAGACCTTCTAGAATTTGAGGATGATAACCCTCAGCGGGCAGAAGTCACTGAGTTCTGCATCTTAATTCCAAGAAGTCTGTTTGCAAAAGCTACAACCGTTTTCTGGTTTTCTCCGCGTTATGGGGTAATCCTGGAGGGGCTTTACACGCCTGCAAACTGCACCTTAAACCTTTTAAGGAAAGATTGCATCTGATGCAATAGCCGCAAGGAGACAGCCCCAGTGTGAGCGAGCCACCCCAACTGACTAGGAGGTGTTTCCATCACCAAAGCATCTCGTGCTCGACGACACCAAATGCCGTATTGAAGTCTATCTGCGTCACAATGAGCGGCTCGGCGCAAGCTAACGTGTGCTTGGAGATGAAAAGCCTAACTAATTAGGGTGTATTTCCAGTGCGGATTAAGGCCAGGGATTAAGGTCCCGCTATTCCCGGCTAATCCCCGGCTAATCCCTGGCAATTCTTAAGGCCTGGGATTAGCGCTGGGATTAAGGCCGTACAAAGGGCGATGCATACTTTCTATGTGATTCTGAAGCTAAAATTGTTAAGTTCTGAACTAGTTTGGGCATTAGGAATTGAATCAGTATTAGATATGAACAGGAAGCGCACTCTTCTCGCCGTTCATCTCTTCATCACCCTTTTGAGCAACCCAAAACAGGAATTGCTTATTTGAGATCATATATATGGAACTACCTAGAAATTAACGTCAGACATGGCGCCGTGAATGCTAATCCAGATACGGAAAGTTACTACCTGGCTCGAGCCAGGTAATAACTTTTTTGTCACAGGTTGCCAGGTAAATACATGGGCATCAAGTTCAGTTTATGTTCTTTCCTAATCTCTTGCTAGCTCCCGCTAATCTTCTGATTAGAGAACACGGTGTCCTGAGGAATTTCTTAATCCCCGGCTAATCCTGCTTAATCCCGGTGGGATTTCCACTGCCGGGATTAGCGCAGGGATTAACGCTAATCCCTGGCCTTAATCCGCACTGGAAATACACCCTAAGTAGCGCTCCATGCCAAGGCTGCTCTTACAACTCGCTGTGATTGCCATACTGTATATCTTGCAAAACGGACCCCTCGGCACCTGTACCCTGATGAGCAGCAGGAGATGTTTCCCTCTAAAACGCGAAGCATGAAATCGCACAGAAAATTGCACAGTGGCAAAGGATCGTGAAATCGCACAGGAAATTGTTAGAAATGTTGACTTCCGCATATCTCCATGGAACAGCGATGAACTTTACATGTTGGCTACAGGTAATTCCGAACAGGGGCCACAGGGCAAGTTCGATCGCATAACTAACGCCTCTAACGCATAACTATCGCATGACTAACGCCTTTATAATCTGAAGGTATAGCAAGTCCCGTAAGTATATGATACTTAAGGTGTTCCGAGGCCGGCAGACCGTTTGTTTTCAGGTGGTTGTGGTTCCAGGGCTCAAATCTTGCATGCAGACGCCGATTCATAAGGCGCGAATGCCGCTGGCGAAAGAAGTACCGTTTAGCCATCAGAGCATACTCATATACATTACAACTATCCGGAGAGGCATATGATCCGCGCTATTTATTAGGCTTCGCTCGTCAGTCGTTAAGTTTCATGAACCGCATACAGGCCGCCACGGCGACTAGAAACAAACGCAAAGCCCCTTTTTCTACCTTTAAGAGACGTAGCATTTTAATTTATATAAGTTAAAAAATTCAGAGAGCTGTCATGGGCAGAAGCAAGCGCAAGGTCCCTCCAATTTCATAGCCCGCTCCTCCGGAACAGGCCGGGGGCGCGGCCGGGGGCATGGCCGTGGAGAGCGTGTGTCCCAGCCGGCCATCCCAGTCCTGGTGTTCCGTGGCAAGCGTGCCAGGCGCCCTATAGACTCGTGGCGCGTTGCGGGTCGGTGTCGGGATGTCAGATGACCTCGGGGGGTTATGTCGCGCAGCGTGCAGGCACCTACGGTCATGAAGAGTAGCCACAGCATTAATGCACATAGTCTAGAAACCAGCGGCGCTCAATTTGGCACTTACCAGGCGGTGGTCGCGGGATGCATATGCATAATGACGTCGGCCGACCAAATCATACAGCTCCCATTGGTCGAATAACGCAGGTAAGACGTTCTGCCATAGGTGTGAGGTTTTATAATAATGATGGCAGGTCGGCGCGGGTCTGTACAAGCAGGTTTGGACCACTATGCGAGTGTTCGGAATTACCCCGGTTTTTTAGGGAGGCATTTTTGGATAGGTCTCCGAAGCGAGTGATAATACGACTTCCCCTTCTTGTTCTTCTTCTTCTTCCCCTTAAGACGATGGCCAAACTCACATACCGCGCCATGGGAATTTGACACCTTTTAGTGTACTACAAGGCGGACCTGATGCGACAAAGCCGACCCTGTAACAATACGTAACGCGTATGCTATCGCCTCACAAGTCCTAGTGTTCGGAATATGCCGGGTCCACCTGTAATTCACGATCATAGCACAGGTGTGGATCGGGTATCGACTTCCATGGTTCCAGGTACGGCTTAGATACTGTTTAGAAATGCGCGTAAAGAACATAAGTGCAGTGCATGCTAAATGGCTCTCGTTCCTAAGATAGTGTGTTGGTTTCTAGGGGTTGGACTCCCTTTCCTGCACATGTGTATGTCAACATTTTCCCGCTGTTTCGCAGCCTCTAAAGCCCCCGGTATTACTGTGGCCTATGTGCTGGGTTTTCAACAGGTCACGGATATGGTTGGTGACTAGAGTGATGGCCGGCTGTATGATAGTCCGGCTACCCAACCGTGTGCACATGTGCACACATTTTTGCAAAAGCCGATTGGGCTTCACTGACTGCTGCTTACTACTCCTTGATTTCAAAGAGGAAGCTCAGTGCCCCGGGAGATTGGAGAGCTGATTCAGGTTTCTGCGTTTTAACGGAACCAGTGATTTTCCACACCTCATGTGTCCTATTGTTCCTGTCAGACGGTGGTTTGAAAGTCCTCTGGCTGCTGGCATCTTTTTTGTTTCACCTCCTGGCGTCCACATCAAGCTGCTAACAAGCTTCGTTTTACCCACGTGATGGGATGCCGCAGGTTGTTTCGAGTTTGTTGTCCTCCGTGCACCTCGTGGCGTGAAGGCATTAGCTGAAGACAATCTGGAGGAAGCTTTGAGGGATGGCTGCAAGGCATTGATGCTGGTGGAGCTGAAGTCTTTTGTAAATCCCATAAGTGACATACGGCAGCCCATGGCAGTAGCTATAGAGCTGGCGATCCAGGACAGCAGGATCCGGTGACGGTGCTGCTCACAGAAGCTCTGTGGTGGTGTTTAGCCTCTGTGCAGCTGGTCAGAAAGGTCGACGAACAAGAACTTCCCCCCCCCCCACTCAGGACGAGTTCCAGGCATGCGGTTACCGGTTCCGCCTCTTTGCTTGCAAAATGTTCGCCTTCAACCCCATGTCCAGCGATGATGTCAAAAGTTCAGAAATGTTTGGTAAGGTGAGGCCGAAGCTCGGAGGGCAGTTCTACTGCAGGTCAGGGCCTCGGCTGCATAGTGTAAATGGCATGACATACTCCGTTCAGGGTGTTGTCTTCCTAAGGGTGCTTTAGGATGCACAATTCGTGAGGTTAGGAGCCATCAACGTGTCCAAACAAACTTGGTGCTAGCTGGGTTGCATAGGTGGAAGAAGTGTTTCGAATTAATATGCGGCATTGTATGCGCCTGGTGAGGCAGTTGTTTTACAGGGTCGGCCGGTCCATCTGTCTTGCAGTACGGGATGCATGAATAGATGGACGCTGAAGTATGCTGAGTATGCATCTCGAGGGGCCTTTTTGGCAGCCAGCTACTACAATTCCGCAGGTAGATAATTTTGTCCAAACATCCCCTTTGTCCTAAAGATTTTCACCCACATGCACAACGTGCTGTTACCTGGCATTGACATTTCCCAGATAGCAGTTCGGGGCAGTGGTGCCCCTAAAACTCTAGTGCTCTTCCAGGTCTTCAACCATGTGGCCGCCAGAGTTTTAAGGGCATCACTGCCCCTCTTCGCCCGAACTGCTATCTGGGAAATGTCTATGCCAGGGAACAGCATGTTGTGTATGTGGGCGAAAATCTTTAGGACAAAGGGGATATTTGGGCAAAATTATCTACCTGCGGAATTGTAGTAGCTGGCTGCGCAATCCTGCCCCGCTGATCCTGGTCTATCTAATTATTCATGTGTTATGCGGCACATATGCATACAGCTCCATCCAGTATGTTCGACCCAATTAGACCCATTTAGAAGCACTTCCCCAGGCTCGCTGCCGGGATATGGTGATGACGTTATTACTTTCATATGTAACAAGAGGTTGAACCCTTCAGTGATCTCTATTTGCGCACTGTGAACTTCAGGATCTTAGTACCCCCCAAAGATACGAAATTAATCTGCACATCACTCCCCACAGACACATCTGCCACGGCAATACCAGTAGTCGCCACAGCCTGTAGCCACAATAATGCAGTGAAGCGATAGGCATACACCACCACCTTCGTCCGCTGTACATAACCCTCTGTAAGGTCAGAAATTCCCCTTCTGGACACTTCATGACCCGCTCGCCAACCACGACGCATCGTCTTGAGCTACCTTGAGCAATCCACACTCATGCAGATTTTCCCAGCCCAGCGTCCCGAAGGTTAAGGTCCTTGATGCCCGGATGAATCAGTGTTCCTCCCAACCATGCGACGGGCAAGGCGTGGAAGAAGACAAGTCCCTCGGGCAAGTCGCACAAGTTATAAGTGCCGAAGTCATCATACTATACCACGCCATGTCACCACCTCGGCAGCAGCGTCCGGCGGCCCTCTCAGCCACCACATGCATTATAATAAATGCATATGGTCAAAGGCTGCCAACAGCCGCGTGTACCATGGCTACGCAGAGGATGTTTTACGCAGTCAAGCAGCGACCCCATTCAGCTGCGCGGGCGGAGGAGGCCCCAGCCCATAACGGGGGAGTTGCGCTCTGCGTTCCTCAATCGAGAACTCGTCGTCTGTCCAGACTACCACCGACCCATCAGCGGTCGCGGCTGCGGCCGCTGGCGCGGCGGCTGGGGTTGCTGCACCGCTCACCGCACTGGCGGCACCAGGGCCGCCAGCTGCGGCCATCGCTCCAGGAGGGGGCGCACCTGCTCGCGCAAGACAGACAAATAGCACGTACAAGAGGCTATAAGTGTGACACGATTGAGGGACAAAGGAACCCCTATCACTATAGACCTGCACCGTGCCACTACAGGTGGCGATAGCAGGCCATAAGAAGCCAAGTCGTTGTACAACATATGGGGCAGCAGTTGGGGGCACTGGACCGAACCATTCTGAGCGGCTCTGATGGTGTTCTTATGGGGGTTCATCACAACGCACTTGATTTGTCTCTCACCTACTGGGAACAGAGCTGGTGGTTGCCCTGGTAACCCCGGTGGCGGCTGGCTTATGGGGAACAGCGGCGGCGGCATCCCCGGTGGGGCGACACCTTGGGGCGGCACCCCAGGCGGAGGAGGCATCCCTGGAGCGCCCGGTGGGGGCATGTACGGCGGCGGATAAGGCCCTGGTGGCCGCGGTGCCCCCGGCGGCATCCCTGGCATTCCGCCAGCAGCTGGATGCGGTGGTGGCATTCCCGGATGTGGCGAATGCGAAGGCATACCAGGATGAGGCGGTGGCATTCCCGGATGCGGCGGCATGCCTGCATTTGCCACACGAGAATGTTTTTTGGGCATGCTCAGGCCAAGCAGATGGGCAGGAAGGCAACCATGCAATACAGTCGTAACTGAAAATGCATCCGGATCATGGGCCGCAAGTATCAAGACCCGAAGTTACTCGCCCGAAGGCTGCGCATCGCCAGGAACTGCAATGCCTACAAGGGTGCCTTGGCTGCACTGCATCACCACTTGCGGTAGGTCGCTGGTGCGCATACACCGTCGTGACCTACTCGGTCCACGGCTCTGTCGCCGCGAGTGGTTGTGCTTGTCGCTCCCAGCGCCAAGAACGCAAAACTACTACATCAGTGGCAAAACGCATCCGTATAGCAGCGACAATTTGGCGGGTCCCTTCCAAATCGCAAAATGCATCCCACAGTAAGAAGCGCACATTTCTTTTGAGCAGTGACCCCAGCTGCGGCAATGGTATCCCAAGGCTTACACCCACCTGGCGGCGGAGGGCGCGGTGGATAACCTGGTGGCGGCGCGCCGTACGGAGGCGGGGCTCCGTACGGTGCCGGCGGCATCCCCTGCCGAGGTGGAAAACCCGGCGGTGGCACGCCATAGGGCGGGTAACCATAAGGCCTGTGTGACACACGGAACGCAAGGTTTTGCTTACCAAGAGCTCCATGCTGGAACGTCTCAAATGTCAAAACATAGACGTATGCAGTATGTGCGTCAGGCCACGTCTTCGTATTTTCTAAATCCGGCTTAGCATATGACATGGACAGAGAGAGTACTCGGTCGGAGCCCATGGTCGGTAACGGAGGGTAGTTCGCAAGGCTATGTGTCTCATCCCATACGCGGCCGCCTCCTCTGTTTGTATGTGTTCTTACCAACGTGGGCCACACGTGGTCCACACGACAGTCTTAGCTGGTGTTCGCCCTTGTGGCTGTGGGGCAATAGCACGACTACAGCCATCCCACCCTGGCTTGCCCCGATTATCCAACAGCCATGGGGCTTCACAAGTAAACCATTGATATGACGCGTTCGCCATTTCTAGCTGGCAATGGGGCTTCAGCAGATTAGCAGGAGCTGGCAGTCCCATCCATCTTCCTGGTACCCGTTCGAACCAAGATGACTCACGGAGGGGGTCCGTAAGGCCCGGGTGGGTAACCCATGGGAGGCGGAACGCCGGGTGGAGCGCCTGGCGGGGGTGGACCAGCGGGCTGAGGAAACGCGCTTGCCGCCGGGGCTGGTGGCGGCGGCGGTGCAGGAGCTGGAGCAGGCGGCGGGGTCACATCGTCATCGTCATCGGTTCGTGCTTTCTTTGCCGCGGGTCCGTCACCTGTGAAAAAATGGCCGAGATAACGTGCATTAGCCGACCCGGGGCTTACTGCGCTGATACTTAATATGCTCAGTATGCTCACAACTTCATGTCTTGTCCTGAATGCACATTTCCCGGACAGGTTACCGCAAACCGGGTCCGGTATGGTGCCCTTGTAGTCACTGCTGGCCCGGACCTTTAATAAGTGATAAGTGTTCATGCGAGCACAAATGGGCTCCTGCAGGCCCGGTGTTGATGGTCCCGCCAAACCCGTCTAATAAGTCTGCGAACGCTAGAGAGCGTGTATATGGCCGAATGGCAGCACGGGCTACTTACCTAACTTCGCCTGCCGGACATCGTCTGGCATACCCGCCATTCCGAAAATTTCGATGCTCATAGAGTCTCTCCCCGGTTTCGCTGCAGGTACCCTGGCGGGGCAAAGCGGGAGGGTACACTCTCGTCAGGCTGATCGGCAGCGAAATACAGCGATATCGACTGATCGCCTGACGCGGCCAAGCTTACGCCGTAACCGTCAGCTTGTGGACCTGAAACGCATGCGTCGCCAGGCCTTGCGCCGTGTTCATTTTTCGATTGCACCTGTACGCAGGAACATGCGTCCCGTTAGTGGCAAGGCTCAAATTCGTGCATAGAATAACAAAAGATGCAGAAATTACTCCTCACTCGGGACATTTAAAGTGCTTGTTCTTTTGGTGTACAATCAGCGCAGCCTCGTCGTCGAACACACGATCACAGTAATAGCAAAAGACGATCTCTTGCTCTTTGTTTTTCTTCTTCTTCCCCATACTGTGCGAGCCTGCCGAGCGCGGTTGTCACGAAGGGCTGGGCCCCGCCTTCAACCAATCAGAAGAAAATAAATGACTACTCTTTCCAGTTACAAGGTTACTGACGTTTGCTTATATTATTGTGCAAAAATTACTGGCGCGATAAGCCGCCGGGTGGAAGGGCTAGGACCTCCACAATCCTACAGTTTGCTCAGAAGCATGCATTCCCAGGCCAAACCACCGTATTGCCGAGGAAAAATGGTATTGGTTGCACCCAGGTGCAAACACAGAACGACAGTACGGCAGTACTGAAGGCTTTCTTACTCGGCCAAGCCTACAGGTGCCTAACGCCCAATGTAAGGGTTTTATCTAGATTTTCTGATGCGGCCAAAACGCCGTGTTGCGTTGAGCTTAGGAATTCCCTGAAGGCCTTTCTCCCGCGCTATGCTATCTTCGCAGTTCTTTGTATAATGTTGTAAGCGTGAATGGCGTGAACGCCATAATACCTACCTTGCGCCGCGGACCGCGTGCGGTACTCTACAACGGCCGCGAGGAGGAGGAGCCGCCCTGCGGCATGTGTAAATTAAGGGCTGTCACACACAGGCCGGTAGGTGCGTGCCTATCCCTTTTCCAGTTGACGTCATCATGGCCTGAAGCCAGGCAAGTTGGCGGGGCCTTTGCAGACTTCAGGCGTGTGGTTCTAATATATGGTTTGCAACCTGCAAGTATACGATAAATTTAATTGAGCGTCGAGATTTTTGGAGAGTGCGTTGTCGGCCTTGTGGCATGGGCTGGAGCAAATTCAGGCGCGCTCAAGTCTTGCACAGAACTTATGTCTGCCTGCGGGATGCTGGCTTGGTTTTGTATGAGCTATCCATGGTGGATTTTTTTGTGTAGATGTCCTGCTTTTCGTATTTCGCGCCTTGATTGTCTATCGGTATGTGGTTTTCGCAGATGCTCATCCTAGCCTCCATGGTCGGCAAGAGAATAAGCAGTGAGAAGAAACGTGACTGTGCCATGCTGCAGGGGCAAGTGGCGGGGCAGTTGGTTCAGCTATGACAAAGGTGGAGTGCCCTGGGCCTGGCTTCAAGGGTCTGAAATGGAAATGGATTCAGGACCATGCTAAGGAGCAACAAGAGCGGGAGAAGGAGCGCCTTGCGGTTGATCAGGTTCCACTCCCGGGGCAGGTTGTTCGGTCCAACTGCCAGGAGCAACAGTCTGCAACTGACAACAGCTCTGAGCCGCCACCGATCTCCGAGCCATGCGCGACACACAAAACCTCTGGTGGTCAAGTGGGTGGCACTTGTCCCCCCCTTCTGGATACTGCTACCCCAGCTACCTTGCAGCCCCGGCCACCTTGCAGTGGGGCCAAGGTGCGGATTCGGAAACGGCACGGAGGCTTCGAATGTCTTCACCACCGATTTGGGTTTGCATATCTGCGTGTGCATGCGAGAGCATGCGCTTACCTGCATAGCCGGTTGACTCCTACCACATTGCTACGTACCAGTACCAACATGTCGCGTACCAGGTCACGGCTATGAATTGTTACAAAGTGGGTGGCTTCGGGGGCCAGGTTGCGGCTATGTAATGGCCGCTGTGTTTTGCACTGTCTTGTGACACTTGATCTACAGTGCCTCACATGGACATTGGTCCGTGTTGCAACTGCCGCTCGCCCACTGTGGCCGTTCGTTCAAAAACCCTACACTTTGTCATGGTTGAGGGCAGCCACCCTACCTCCCTCAGGCGGGGCCCGAGAATGCGTCAGTGGGAGCTCCGGAGCCGCTGGCCCCTTTGAGTGGGGGTCAATTCCATCCAAGCGAGGAACGCGTCCGGGTGAAGGAAGAGCAGGTAACTGGAGAGTGATATCTTCACTAAAGGCATGAGCTTTACTGGTACATTAAAAGAACGGGCTTTGCTTTACCAGGGTGTTGTTACCAGAAGTATATCATTACGCATTCGTGAAGGATTTCACCGTTACAAACTTTGGAGTTATAAAGTGGGTCCTGCGCTCCCTAGCCAGCTTAGAGCCCAGGTGATTAATCCCCATTGCAAATGAAGGCTACGAGGCTAGCTGGATAGCTAGTTGCCAGGGGTTGCCGTGCCCATGCCAGGAAGAAGCGCAAGGCCCATGCCATTCGCCTACATATGCACATTGACCTTGAGGCTCTTTAAATTGAATCCAGAATGCACTTATGGATGCAAAGAACCAAAGTAATATTGCCCACATTTCCCTGCGGCAGGACCTGGCGGCATCCTGGTCTTGTAACCCGAAGGAAGATAAGACGGGTCGTTTGTCGGAAGTCCTTGCATGCGCAACGGCGCCACCAGCGTTGCCGGGCGTAGCGTCAGATGTGAGCAACACAACGGCGGTGAACGCGGTGGCAGCGGGAGCAACCGCAGCTGGAGGAGGTGTCTCTGGAGCAAAACCAGCAGTGGCGACGGTCGACCTTGTGGGCGGGTTACTGCTCGGAAATGGTGCCAACGCTGCGGGATCCGTGACCGGCAACGGTGCATCGCCATCGCCAACGAAGCCGGCGGCTGGCTTGACAAAACGCAAATCGATGGATGCCTCTGCTTCCTTACCTGCGGTGCCGGTCTCACTTTCCCCCGTTGCAGCTGTTTCCTTACCGCTACCCTTCATTAGCTTGGCAGAGACAGTCCATGTGGGAGCCACTGCGGCTGCGGTCACATCAGGCTTTTCACAGGGAACGTCACACAGTGCGGCAAATGCTCCGATGTCCTGTTGTATTTTGACGCCGTCGTCGACGCAAGTCCCTGCACAGTCGGCGCAAGGCCCGCATTCTGCAGCTCCACCATCCGTTCCAGTTCCATCCGCAGTTCAGCCTCACGGAACAGGTCCCTCATCGGGGCCGTCCCTGACCAGCACCGCCGGCAGGGTTCGGCTGCCGCCCGCACGAATGCCATCGATGCCGCTTGCAGCAACAGCTTTGAAAGGTGGTGATGATTTCGAGTCCATGTTTACTCCTCTGTCTTCCCTGCCGGTCGCCAAGTCGGAAACGCCAAAGGCCGGCGTCGTCAGCCGGGCGAGTGGCTTCCAGCCAGGACCACATACAAGCCTGCAGATTGCGGCAGCTGGGACGGGGCCGCCAGCAGCGACGGCACATGATGCAGGAGGGCATTCGCAAGGCGTAGAACGAAAAGGGCCGCTGAAAAAGGTACAGGGGATTGCACTGGGATTGGGGGCCAAGGATACCGGTGGAGTCGATGTTGCAAGCCTGCGGCTCGCATCATATCAACAGTGCGTTAATTTTAGAGGAAAGGGTGTCAATGCACCCACCCACCCACCTTGTTATTAGCTCACACGGACGAGCCGAATCAGTAAACTGAACGCTAGGTGCTGTTTAGGTTTCCATGCTAGTGCATACGGGGTCATCGTCATTTATTTGGCGCTGCGTGGAAGGGCATGTCCTGAGCCTTTTCAGTCTGTGGTCGCCTGCTTGAGCCCTATTGGACACCCTATTGCACGGGCCCCATCCATTTCCAGGCTTCCCGTGTTCTTGATGGTCGCGGCAGCGCTGGGCAGCCAGGCGCTTTGGGAGCTGCTGCCGCTGCAGCTGCCGGGGCTACATCAGACCAGACAGAGGCTACGGACCATGCATCCGTCGGTCGGAGCCGGACACCAGTCCCGCAGTTCAGCCCCGTTTCTGCTGCCGCAGCAACACCAGGCACTGCTAAGGAAACCACTGCCGGAGGAGCTTCCGCCGGTGCCGCCGCGGTCGCTGCAGCAGCAGCGGCTAGCAAAACACAGTCGCAGTCGTCGCAACCACAGCCGCAGGGGCAAGGCCAGCCGGCGCAGCAGCAGCCGCAGCAGCCGGCAATGGCTACACAGCAACTGCAGCAGCGGGCGTCGTGGGGTAAACATTTAAAAGATGGAGCTAAGGAAGGTGCTAGGTTGCGGGAAAGCGGGGACGGTGCCGCGCCGCCTGTCACGGGGCTGGGAAGCCTGGCGGCGGGGCCCGCAGTGGGAACGGGAGGAGGGCTGTCTGCGGTAGGGAGTCGTGGAGGGGACAGGCCACCGGCACCGGCATCAGCAGGTTCAACGCCTGCGGCGGCGCCCGCCCACAGCGGCGGAGAGGTGGGAGAGCGGAAACGGCCGCGATCAGAGGGATCCAAGCCCAAGGTAGGCTTGTGTCGTTTGGCAACGAGCAGCGCCAAGGGTCGTCGGATACTGACCTTGTTGTATCCACAGCAAAGGGCGGTGCTGTCTCACTTGTTTTCTGCGCCATTTGATGCATCTCTCTTTGCCAGCGTTCTTATTATCAGTGCTATGTATTTTGGTATGGGAATTTTAAGCCTATGCCACCATACGCACGGTATACCCTGTATTTCCAGGGTCGCCAGATGAACGACATCGACCACCGACCCCCCAGTCCTCCTCTCATGACGGCTTGTTTCCATTGGCCCCCGTCCCCAGGCCGGTACTTCCCTGACGGGCGACCCACACGGGAGTACGGAGAATGCTTGGCCGTACGGCGAAACATTGGCGGACCGCATAAAGCGCACCAAGCGGGCGACGACGTCATCTAGTGAACAGGAAGGCCCTCAATCGCACGGAGGGAGCGCAGAGCGACCAATAAGCCACGCTGCATATGCTGGCAATGGCGCCACTCCCGCCGGCGGGGAAGGCCAATCCAACGCGGCCGTTGCTGGAGGTGCTCGGCCCCCCGGGGAACCGCAGCCACGACCCGCGATATCTGCGGAGGCGCAATCACGTGGCACGGAGCCGTCGGCACCCGCCAGGAATCCCTCTCGTGGGCCGCAAGCGGCGGCGTCTACAGTTCCCGGAGGTGATGCAGCTGCCAGCACGGCGGTAGGAGGCGGGGCTAAGCAGCAGCAGCAACAGCGGCATCAAGCCGCACAGCAGGGCCGCGACAAGCTGGGAGGGCGATCAGAAGATTCACCCGCTGCCATGCAGTCCCGTAGTGGAGGGCAGATTGCGGAAAAGCCCCCGGACGCGCTCATGCAGAACCCGGTTTGTAACAGCTTGCGGGTGTCGGGGGGCGGAGCTGTCACGGACAGCAGCGGTGTAGGGGGTGTTGGGCCTGCAGGGGCCCAGCGCGCCTCCGGGCCGTCCGCGGGCGCTAAGACCGCCGGCGGCACGCAGGCACCTCCTGGTGTTGCAGTGGCGGGCCCCGGAGGGACGAAACGGCCCACAGCGGATGCACCGCTGTCGAGGCGGCACAACGGCCCTCCTGCTAAGCTTCCACGGTCCGACCCGCACCTTCCCCGTCCCAGCCACCCGCATGGCCAAGATCGGAGGAGTGCCGGGCCGGCGGAAGTTACAGCCATGGCGGCCGCGGTTGGAGGGAACGCTCGTACGGGGGCAGCTTTACCTCCGCCTCCGTCCTTGAAACCCACTCATCGCACCTCCAGTGGAACTCCGGCTGGGAAGGCCGACGGGGCTCAGGGCCCAGTCGACGGCGCGGGGCCACCGACTTGCGCGACGGGGCTTGGGCAAGTGCCTTCGCCCGCAGGGCCGTCCCCGCCGGGAGGCCGGCTAGGGCGTCTCGGCGATAACGACATGCCGGCCGCGGGCAGCTGCAAGGGCCCGGCTGTGGCAGGCAGCCGGGGCTCCAAGGACGGCGCAGGGGACAAGGGCGCATGTGGTCCTCGGAATGGGGGACATGTGGTGGACGCTGCATGCGGCGGGACCGGGGGCGGCGGAGCAGGCGCCGCCGCCACGACAACAACCGAGCCAAAGACCGACTCTGACACGCGCACGTCGCGTGTTGTTGAGTGCTACTTCGAGTTTGACCCTCCGTGCCGGGTCACCGGAGGCGCGGCGCCTATTTCTGGTCTTGTACCCGTTGGTCCTCTACCTGTTGGCCACGGCTTCGCGGCGAGGCTGGGGAACGGCCGTGTGTATGGGGGGCCGGCTGCTGCCGCGGCGCTGTATCCGCGCGGTGGCAGTGGTGCCGCGGCGGCGATGGCAGCGGCGGCGTCTCAGCTTCTAGATCTTGGCAAGATTCGCTCGTTCAAGGAGCTGTGGACTCAGCTCGCGGCGCTGCACGACGGGAGTTTGCCAGATGAAATGGACTCGAAGATCATTTACCTGGTGAGCCAAGGAGTCCTCATCGCGCGTGATCTTCGTCCAAAACAACTTATTAGCATCCGCTGCTTGTGCGCGTTGGGCGGCAACAGTCCTCTAGCTGAGGTCCTGAGAGTTGCCACAGTCTCCTCGCGGACGCCGGGGTCCCTTACCCGCCTCGTGGCTGGCTCACGGTTCTCCAGCTCCTGAGCCCACAGCTTCTATGAGTAACTCATGTGATGTAATGCATACTTGGCGTTGCTCCTAGGCCGCCGCGCGCCACTATGCTAGGCTCCCTGGCCGTGTTGTAATCCAATACGGGATATGCACGTCTCATAATCCTTCTGACGGCCGCTTAATGATTCCGTGCAGGATGAGGAGGGCGACTGGATCATGGTGACTCCGGACGAGCCCTGGTCCTCGGTGGCGGCTGCAGCCACCAAGGTCCTTGTCACCAACCGAACTTGAGAAGTTTTGGGCGCAGAGGTTGGCAGCTGCTGGTGTGCCGACGCAACGCATGGGAGCGGCGCAGTTTGCCCGCGGCAGGGTCCGTCAAGCTGCTGACTAGGCGACGCGCACACAGCAACGCGACGCGTGTGGAACGGGGCGTAGGGTTCCTCTCCCGCCGGCGTGTAGGGGGCTTGGAACCCTTGCCCCGCCGGCGTTGAGGATGCCAGGGTGGCCGATATGGGCTCTGGTGTCTGTGCGTGTGCCCACACGCGCGCGACGTCGTTGGAGGAGCCCAGGTGAAAGGCCTGGATAGCGGATGGTGTTATTGCTGCGATGCCATCTAGCGGCCAGGGGCAAGGGCCGGCGCCACGGGTTCCTTCCCATGCGGCGGTATGTGCTGTGTTGGCTGGCGCACTGCTAAGGCTAGGACAGTTTAGTTCCTTTAGCATGGGCTCCGGGGAAGGTGGTAGGTTAGGTTTGCAAGCACATGACTTCCAGGCTGCTGCATGCACACGGCGGTGGGTATTGGGTCAGATGTCATTTTGGGCGTAGGGGGCTGCTGATTCTAATATATGTTGTTTTTCAAGGATCCAGAATCAAGCGCTCAGGATTCGTGCTGCACCGGGAGTTTGTACAGGCGTGACATGTGGGTAGTGGGTGCCGGCATGCAGTTAGTGTTGTCGCCATGCATGCGCACCGCAGGCGCTGTGCAGCATGTGCGGGATTGTTGGTTTTAGCTGAGATTCGCTTACAGTGTGTGCCCCCCCAAAACAATGCACAGCCCGGCAGCGACATGCTCCATACACGCATGTTGTTTGCGGGATGAGGAATGCGGCGCTGAGGTTGTGTAGTATAGTCTTGGGATGGGGATTAGCGACTGCCACATGATGATGCAGCAGGGAGGTCGGCTGATGTGAAGTGGGCTGGATGAAGGTCGGGGGGTTGCAAATCATGATGCGTGTTCCCTTGGTTTTTGGCACACGGTTAATGGCGCCGGCGCCGTGGGGTTATGTTTGGGGTGCTTTCTATTTAGGGTTTCTTTTAATCCTGGCGCGACTGCTCTTTGCTGATTGTGAATTTTTGTCCAGCGCCCATGCTGGGGCCGCGTGGTTTCATTACATTTACGGAATGAACGGACTTGCTTGATATGGGTCGGTTCATGTCTGCCGCTGCCCAATTTTAAACGAACGTCGGACGAGCAGGCTGAGCGTAACGAGGGATGTACTGCGTGTGTGTTTTCGAGTGATTTTCATTGTGTTCTGTGTCGGGAGGCTTTGGGGTTCTATCTTTGCTGTGTGGGGCGTGTGATGGCGCAGGATTCGTGGGCGTGTGTGATGCAATCGCGTGTGGTCACGTTGGTCGTCGTACCGGGGGTGGTTCATCTTCATCTTTGCTTTGCGGGGCCGGGCTTTGCACGTACCGTGGTGGGGTTTCATTTGGACATGGCAAGTATCGTACGCTGACACGTTAAGAGCTGCGAGCGGCGGGTAAGACCTAAGGTGTGTCCTTAGGGCCGCGCGGTATGTCGTCTCTCTTTTCAAATAAACAAGAACATGTTCTTTCCTAAAAGTAGTTGAAAGCAAGGAATGCGTTACAAGAAATATGCAATATGATGTCTATTACATTGTCTGTGCGGTATCGGGCCCGCATGGAAAATGCGGGCTTAAGGCGAATCAAAGGCACAATGGGGATTTGGCTACTTCTGTGTCGGACGTGCTAACGGGCGCTTGACGGCCCCAAATGGAAACTTTCGGCGCAACCAAGGTTAATTCTGCTGTATGTCCTATCGCTTCATATCAGGATGACATGCGTGTTGGAAACCCTTCTTGCACCTCTTTGGGCGGGAGGGCGAGGGTTGCAACGCTGCGCAGCTGTCCTCTCCATGCTGTGATGTATTTGCAAATCGGCAGCCTAGTCTGGCCAAACTATATGACCCAACAGGTATGCACCCTTGGCACATTTAAGTTAAAAGCCTCCTTTCCAGGGCGGGCGCATTATGTTTATCATGCAACATACCAGCCGTTCAGTGGAGGCTAAGTGCCTCACTTCAGCAAGATGCTTAGTAGCAAGTGCATGTAGGTCACGACTGCAACACGCTTGCAATTCACACGGCTGCCAGTACACACAATGTAGACGGCGAATGTCCCAGGGGTCGAGAACGCAACTTCACACAATCTACAAGTCCGAATACGATGGGAGTTCATCTGCATGTTATATCGACAATCTGTGTTTGTGGCAGGCGATTTGCAATCATGGTTCTGGATGAATTATGGCCCTAGTTGCCAGGCGCCGTATCAAAGCGGACCCCTTGGATATATTAGATTTGAACATATCTATGCAACATAAAGTTCTCAGCTATCTTGTTTGTAAGTCGCACTTTAGATTGAAATCGATTCCTGTAATGCCTGGTTTTGACTTTATCCGGGGATTTTGCTTTTGCCCCGTATTGATTCTGGTTTCTAGGAAAACGAGCCACAGCTAAAGTAACGATACGCTGTGCTGCGTAGTTTTGAAGGGCATGACTGAACACATCGATCTGACGGAGGATGCGAATGATACTTCGCCATACGTAACAAAGGAGGAAACAAGCAAAAAGAGGATCGTGGCGCTTGCAGAAGGCTTTGACGAGAGGCTTCGCGTTGCTGAGGCACCAGCCCGGAAGCGGCTCCGGACTGCAGTTGTCGACGCCACTAAACTCTCCGAGCTTGCCGCAGCCAACTCTGAGATGCACGCTCTGTCTGGCTCAGCTCGGCTCAGTCCGGCTCCACCCACTGCTGCACTACCGAAGCCGCACTCTTTGCAGCCTGCTGCGCTCATACCAGCGCCCGTACCAACAGCAACCCCGAAAGAAGCCACAGCCCAGACAACCAACAATCTACTGGCCCAACTACACGCGGAAAGGATCTCCCGCATGAGTGAAGATCGGAAAGCGGCACTGCGAAGCCCGTCCAAGTCTGAAACGGCCAAGGCTGGGCCTGCTGCCAAGCACGGAAGTTCTGGCCAGCCCAGCCAACCGCGGAATCCTGGAGCAGCCGGCGCGTCAACTTCCCAGCAACGCGCTAGCAGCCAGCCTGCCAGTTCCGCCTCGGCACGGAGCCTGAGTGTCTTGACGTACAACCTTTGGTGCGTCCGCCACGCAGATTCCTTGTGGGCAATTGCAAGCGCATAACCCTATAGCCAGCAAAGGTGCTGCCACGTCTTCACCGGTGGCGGCTGCGTATCCCCCAACTCCCTACCACGCGACTCAACATATAGGTATTCCACGAGAACGGCCCACAGCGCTCTACGCTTTCTCTGTTAGTGACGCGTAACGGTGTCCTCCTGCCGCATGGCGGTACTCTTATCTCCGATGTGAGGTCTTGTTATGCTCCAAAATACAGGGGAGCTGATGTCGTAAACCACCTGCGGCTGACGTGTGCGTGGGTAGGATCGTGTCTGAAACCTAGGTCTTGAGGGTCACGACTTGGGATCCATCGGGTTGCGGCTGCGACCATGGCGAGTCGCAATGACGAAGGTTCGGATCCAGAGCTGCTTGCGCAGACTTGTAGGTTGGGAGGACTCGGCTCTGATTTGGGTCAGGATATAGGTGGCGTATCCCTATGGCCCTAGGATATGCGCGTCCACCCTGCCTCGTCTACGGCGCAAGTGTGCGCTGTAGGACATACCTGCCCGCGAAGCACACTGCAGCCCAAGTCGCAAAGCCACAGCCGCTGCTGCGGTTCCTGATGGCCCTGCCGCAAATGCTTTGCGTAGACGTGGAATGCGGATTGGATGCAAGGCACAAATATCTCCTGCCGCTCGTATGCTGTTGAGTGATGCTCTATGGAATAGAGGTTAACCTATGAACCATTATCAATGTACGACAGGCATTTTATGGTCTGCGAATCATATGACGCCCGTTACGCTCTGTATGATGCTGCCCATGCTGCTTGCCTGCACACTGTCTTGGTAACATTGGTGAGGAATTCTGTGTTGCTGACGACGGCAGGTTCAATGAGGACGTGGCGCTACTTCAGCGCATGCGTGCTATTGGCGATCTCATCGAGCGGGAGGGCCACCCGGATCTATTGCTGTTTCAGGTATGTTGTACCTGGTGGCCCTGTGTACGCAGGCTTTAAGGGTTTCTTTTCTCCCCCCTGCCTGTCTACCTGCCCCGAATCTACCCTTTCGTTCCCTGCTCTTGCCCTAGCCCTTGCCCTCCCGCCGCACTTCCCTGATCGTTAGTGGCGCTCGTTATGGCGTCGACTTCGTTACCTTAACGGTGTGGCTTTCAAGGTCCCGATACGTTAAACTTTCCCCCGCCCGCGCAGGAGGTAACGCAAAACATGTTGCTCATCTTTCGCCAATGCAGCTGGTTTCGGCTGTATCACTGCTCACCCGCACCGGAGGGCAAGGTAGTTTGGGTTTGCGACCGGAGCTCTTGGACGGGTGCATACAAGTCAGTTTATGCTGCTCGTCGTAAAAATGCGTTTGTCGCGAAGAAGGGAGGAGGAGAGGCTGTCGCTGCTTACGTATGCTTGACGAGACGCAAATCCCACTATACGTATGTGCCTGTCTGTCTGTTTGTCTGGCAGGATATGGGGTATGCTTCCTTTATCCCTACTCCGTTATCCACTTTCTTGCTTTGGGAGTATGGGGGGGGATATGGATGAACGGAGGCACTGTTGGTCTTCCTAGCGCCTCGCTCACAGGATGTGCCGTGTCCACCTACAGCATTTGCCCTTGCATCTGTCGCTGCCGCACGCGCAGTCGTATTTCACGTTGCTACTGGCGCGCCGTGATACGGTGACGCTCCCGGCCATGCAGCCCTGGCTTGAAAAGGAGTTCGCCAACTCGTGCATGGGTGGGTGGGTGGAGGTGAGGGAAGAGGGACGATGCACCTGTGAACGATTGAGACGATGAGCGATGGGTCAGGGACCCAACTGTTGGGTGTGTGTTTGTGTGTAATTGCGTTGGTTGCACTGACGTTTACGTTAGACCGGGGACTCCTTTGGGGGCTACTTATGCGTTATCACCTCCTAGCTTTCCAATGCTTCTGAAGTTTTCTACCTCGTTCGCACGTTCGATGTGCTCTTTAAGCATTAGCTGCTTGGATTACCTTTCAGCCCATGCACGCTGCTTGCATGCGGGGAGCACCGCCGCACAGGTGCCTTGCAGGCGCGCGGACTTCATAGCGGCTTCGTTCCTCATCTTGCTTGCTCTGCCGCCATAGCGGCATCCACCAACGCAAACGGACCTCTGCTGTGCTTTCCTTGCTCTTGGTACATTCGGCCCTTTGCTTCTTGCGCTCGATTCCCCCACCCCGGTGTGTGTGTGTGTGTGTGTGTGTGTGTGTGTGAACGCGCAGGTCGCAGCATTTTGTTCACACGAGTCAGTGTGGGCGGGCGGCCGCTGGTGGTGGGCACCACCCACTTAGAGAGCCCCGTGGGACCGGGGCCGCAGCAGATGGTGAGCCAGCGGCAGGAGCAGCTGGAGGTGGCTGTCAGGGAGTTGGAGGCGGCGGCGGGGGCCCGGGGTGACGTGTTGCTGGCAGGTGAGGTGGCACCCAGGTCGATGGGTGGGGTAAGCTCAGGAGGAAGGAGGTCAGGGGCATGGATGGAACCCATTCGGACGCGAGCGGCGAATGATTTTTCCCGCCGTCGTCAAAGCGTTGATTTTCCCTCGGACGATAAAACCCTCTGTCTTGTGACTCACTGCTGCAGGCGATCTGAACTGGTCTGACACGCGGGACGGTCCCGTGCAGACGCCACCGCGTTGGTGTGACGCCTGGCAGACTCTCATGGCCAACCGGGATGGCAACACCTGGGACCCGGTATCCAACCCCATGCTGACGAGGTACGGACGGAACGGAAGGCGTGCACAGGAGCTTTATCTCCTTGCTCCCGGATCCGCTGTTCCGAGAGATTGTCGTGGTCGCAATCACTCGGTGGCAATCAATGGTGCGCCAGGACGCCCGTGTCTTCTTTCACCTTCTTCCTACTTCCATCCACCCGTTCTCTCTTAATCGCTAGAGGGTGCTTGAGGGTTTAATACCACCAGCTATGCTTCTGTTCCAACTTCCGCTCCCGGACGAATTTTTTCAACCAAGCTAATAAATCGTTATATGCGCTGTTCGCACTTAGCTTTCCTGAATTCTTCGGTTTACCCCCGGGTAGACCGGCTCCCCACCCCATATGCTAATAGACTCTTGGTCCGCAATGACACACGCGCCCCACCACGCATCCTGGCGTGGGATGTCACGTCGGGTGTGTGCGCGTGACACGTGGACACCCCCCCGGCAACCCACATTGCAGCCGCTTCAAGGGCTCCCGGCTGGATCGTGTGCTGTGCCGGCTGTCGGCGTCGGCGACAGGTACGGGGCCGAGCACCTCGCTGGGCCCCCGGGGGAGCACGGGAGGCGCTGCAGGCGGCGGCTGGCAGCTGGGCGCCATTAAGATGGTCGGCACGCAGGCTCTCCCTGGCGTGACGTACGAGTACAAGGGCAAGCGCCTGCCGGTATGAAGGACTCTGTCCTCTTCGCATTTCTCGCATGTCCCGTTCTATGAGTTGGGTTTTGGAATATATATTTAAGGCGATGAAATAAACAAAAGCAGTGTATGAGCTACGGAAGTAGGCCGCGAGAGCGATGGTCGCCCGGGGCAGGGCTTGGGGTTGTGCTGTGTGTTTGTACGGCGCAAGTCATTCATTGGCTGTCTCTGCGCTACTGCCAGCCGGCCAGCGCGGCGCGTGCAGGTTAGCGCATTGAATTACTTCTGTCGAAGGAGATGATCAGAAGCTGGCGTTTACTTAATCTCCCTTCAACGAAACATCTTTAACATTACTTGCTTTCCCGAGTCCCTCTTCTGGGCGCCGGTAGGCCACAACCCGCCAACGCGCTACACCGTGTGCCTCTCCGCCCAGGTGCTCCCGAGCGATCATTTCGGGCTGTTGGTAAAGCTCATCCCCACAGAGGCACCGCCCGCCACTGCCGGCGTTGGGCGTGTGCTCGGGAGTGCAGCAGCAGCAGCAGCAGCGACACCCTCGGCCTCGGGCGCTTGTGGGAGTGAAGCCGCTGCTGAGGTCGGCGCGTCGGCTCGGGGTACGGCAGCTGCGCCTGAGGCTCGTGACAGAGGTGCCACCCGCGAGGCGACAGGTGGATCAACAGCAGCAGTAGCAGGACCGAAGTCCGGCGGCGGCATCGGCGGTTCGCAGCTGCGGCGACTGGCGCGGGCGAGAGGCGCGGGCAGCGGTGCCACGGCGGCACCCTTGGAGAGCGCACCTCTGGCAGCAACAGTAGCGCGGACACTTGTCCAGACGGCGGCGACGGCAGATGGGAAGAAGGCAGCCGGAGCGGCGCCGCCAGGACAGCGGCCACGTCGGCAAACGACTGTGGACCTTTCAGTGGATGACGATGATGATGACGATGTTCTAGTGCTGTAAGGGGTTCAATCGGTTTCACGACTGTTTAAGATCATCGCTGCAGGCAGTTCATGCAGGGGCGCATTAATTTGCAGCGAGGATGGATTAGTGGATACGTCCGCGGCATGTCGGCCGTGGCAATGGGATAATCTGTGGACGACGGCCGCGCCATGTCGCAGGGTGCTTGCCTGGGAATTTTACTTTCCATCTTCATGGGAGGCCTTTCATCTTTTTTCATCCCTAGGATATAATTGGGTGAACCCCACCGCCGCAGGAGGGCATCATGTGTCTGTGTCCTTGCGTTCGAGGAAATGCATTTGCACCCTTCCTTCAGTGGCTGGTTTTCGCGACGTGATTTGGCATGTACAATCGCATCGCGTCCTGGCACAGCACGGAGCTGCTGTGACAGTTTCACGTTGAGCGGCGCCTGTGAACTCATATGGGCTCATATGCGACTCCCAAGGTGTGGCGGCCTGAAGTGCGCACTCCGGACCGCTCTTTTTCGCGACACGCATTACCTGTCCCAGGCGTCCTTCACACCGCAGGATTGGGTGGTGCGGTCGCCGCCACTTCATGCGGCCGCTTCGTGCTTCAACGCGGTCACCGTCTTTGCTTTAACCCGGACACGTTTCACCGGCCACATGTGTTATGGTTTTGGCTTCGCTAGACGGAAAGCCGTTGAAGATGTCGGCGCGTAACCACCTTCTAAAGATCCAACGCCATCTGATGGGAGGAAGATGTGTATCCGCAGCTAAGCGGCTCCTCTCACGCTTGCATACGCAGAAACACGGAACAAAAGACGCGAAAAGATAACGCGCAGCCGACACCAATAATGATTTCACTAACGCATGAACAACCAGGAGGAGGTGGACTGAATTATTTACAACAGAGCTTGGCAGGAAGTTGGCCGCATGGTTGGGATGGAGAACTTCGAACCGTTATGGACAGGTATGTATAAAGCCGGGCACAAGGCTGGTCCTCCCAGAGCACGCCGGCGGATATATACACAAAGTTACTATGCGATCAAAGGCTGCCAGCTACGGCCTAAAAATTAAACCCAAGCAGAAGTCAAGAACATGCGTCAGAACATCGTAAAAACAGGAAAGGGACATTCCATCGGCGGACAATGGCACCTTCAGTGCGCTTCTAATCGCTCTCCCCACCAAAACCACTAGGCTAAAGAGAATAGCACACCACGCGACAAAACATGGGTTCGTGACGACGTGTCGAAAAGGGGGTCTGCGAAAGATTTTCCATGAGGACTTCGTGCTACTCGTACGGCGATCTGTTGTGATGAATGGTTGGCGCAACAATGCGAGAGCTGCAATGCCACAAAGGATTCCCACTTCGCAATGGCGACGCGCGCATTAGGGGTCCCGGGCGCTCGACCGCCGAGTACAGGTACCGGCTGGGCACCACACACACCGGGAAGCAGCGTACGACAACCCCCAGCGTACGAGAAGCCACCACCAACCCCCCAAAGGGCATTATGTCTTACCGCACAACGGCCCTTCCATGGTGCCCCAACGCCGCAAACCAACGCAGTCCCTGCATGAAGCCTAGTTCATACATGACGCCCATCTTGCTTTGTAATCACACACATGCCAAAAAGTGAAGCCGCATTAGGACACACCGACACGACAATGCCACCCAAAAAAAGTTCTGCAATGGGTTCGCACGCCTTAGATACATCACGATAATGTCCCGGACCAAAACACTGAATCTCGACGCCACCACTGCGCGCTCGTTTGCTCCGCCGTTTGCTGGCCGGCGCAGTTCGCTGCTACACAATGCAAAGCCCCAATCTGTTTTCGCGTCGTACATCATGGACGCTAGAAGCCAGGAGCTTTACGAAAAACATAAAAAACACAAAACAATGACTCACGCACCCCCACACCCGCTTTTCGAGTTGCGCGGCAATCCGCCGCCTTCCGATCAGAAAAGTCTAAAAGGCCAACCTCGCCGTGCCACACCAAATTACCCCCCTGCCATTCCGCCACAATCCGCCGCCGACCCCCTGATGCACGGTACGACCTCCCCCCCTTCGGGGTGATTACCTTACCCGGTAGCCCGCGCTACGGAGCGGCAACGGACCGACGCCAAGGACGGAACGTGGAAGAGCTGCTGATACTGCTTCTAGCGCTACTGCTACCACCCGCGATGCCGCTGCTGCTATTTTGCCCCCGTAGCTACTGCTGACTAAGATGCCCCAATGCACCTGGCGCCGAATGCAAAGTCGTCAAAGTCGGGGGCTTTCCTGCAGAAGCCTTGGCCTGTGGCCCGACGGCCTCGCTGTGCGAGAGGAAAGCCCCAGGAACATGCCAGCAGCGGCAGCAGCAGAAGACGAGGAGTTGCCACTGGAGGGCACGTCACGCAATTAAGTTTTTGTGAAGTGTCAAAAGTCCAAGAAGTGTCACAAGTGTGTCCCTTTCCCCTTACCTTTCTGTCCACCTCTACCACCACCTGCCGTCGAGTCTTCCGCTGTGCTGCCCCTCCAAGCCTGTCACTCCTGTCGCCATCATCTTTCCCTAAACCGGTCGAGCTTTTTGACCAGATCGTTACCACGCCACAGGTCGGTTTGCAGATGCATGTTGCTCATTCACTTTCGCCACCATCACCACCATTACCACCGCAGCGACTCTCTACGACCACCATCACCACCACCAATAAAACTCTGATAAAGCTACTTTTCTGGACGCCCTTTACCGCCCTTCCTGCTTGCGTCTACTCCTGCCTCTATCTCCCCACCTCTTCCCCCCTTTTAAGAGCTGCTCACACGCACCCGCACATGCTCACGCGTGTCGTGCCAGGAAAGGCCCGGGCTTCGTAGGTGAAGGGGACCGCGCACCACCATTACATCCACCACCACCGTCACCACCTCCCACCTCATGCTGCTGTGGCCGCTCCTGTTGGAACTGCTGGTGTGGCTGTTGCTGCGGGCCCGGCTGCGTGTCGTGCGTGACGCTGTAAAAGGCCGTGGAGCTGTTATCCGCCAACACGAGAGAGCGGCCGCGCAGCGTCACGTGAGGTACGGAGCGGGTGCCGCTGAATATTCGTACACACGGTCGTAGCGGCGCCGCCTGATGGGCCGCCACCACCGGGGTCAGCGACTGCTCCGCGGGTCGGAAGCTCAGTTGCCGACAGACCTGCAGCTGCTCCAGACGCCGCTGCGCCGCGGGGCCGGTCTGTTGCCACAGCCAGCCATTGCATTGCGGTGCGGTGCGTTGGTGTGTGTAGCAGCCACGACGACCATCAGGGGGGTCGACAACCGGCGAACAGCGGTCGCGAGGAGGAAAGGGAGGGGAAGGAGGGGGAAAGGGAGGGGAAGGAGGGGCGAAGTTGTGGGTGGGTTGGAGGTTGGGATGCGGGGGGCTGACGGGTGTGCGGACGGGGGGGGGCATGAGGGCGGGAGAGCGCGTGGGGGCGAGACGATCGCTCACAGAGGGTGCAACGGATGCCATCAATTTGAAGACAACATACATGTGTGCTTACATGCATACGCCTGTATGTATGTACGTTACGCGGTTCAGCGGGAGATACGCTCTTGACGCCATCCCTGAACTCAATGTGTGACTCTCCATCACCACTCCATCAATCTCGTCCGATTCCCCTCGCCCTGCCATCTGAAGTTCATAAGTAATAACATTTAGAGAACATCAATTTATGCGAAATCTGATTGCGAAAGCGAGCGGCGGACCTCAAATGGAAAACTGACTGCCCGCTGACCACCGTCCCGAGTGACACATCACCCAACAACCACATTCTGTACTGCACCGTCAACACGGCACGGCACGGCACGGCACTGGATGCACTGTGGGTCTAGCACCCGCCCACCCTCCACGCAAACACGCAGACACACGCTGCATCCCTTCTCGCGTGGGGTGTTCAGTTCGTTAAAAATCCCACCAAAGCGCACGTAGGACCCCAACATGGGCCCCGACCAGAGGCCCGAGGGGACCCGACGTACATACCGGGCTCAGGGGCGACAGGCCGACTGCTGCCGTCGTCAGTCCCTCCGCCGTCTCGTCCTCCGCCGCCGCCAAGTACTCGGGACTGCTGTCCGGAGCGACACCCGCGTCTATGGCAGCTGCCTCCTGTGGTGTGCGACCCAGTGCGACCCCAATCGGCAAAATATAAAGTCGGTTAGATGGCTGGTTGGTTATTGGTTGGTTGGTTGCTGGATTAATGACGCTTTATCCGCGATGCAGCGGGGAAAAACCGTGTCGTGGGTAATAGGGACGACAGTAGCACCAGCAGTAGCACCAGAAGTAGCACCAGGGACAAGAATATGCACGGGAGCCGTTTACACGCAGTGCACGCAGTGAGAGCAAGGTGGAAATGCGGACCCGTTAAAGCCACCCAACAGAACCCACCCTGAACCCAACAGGACGGGTTTGCAAACAGCCGGGTGTGCGCAGCCCCACAGGCAGGCACACGACACCTCCTTTCCCCCCTTCCCACCGGCCTTGGGTGACCCCTCTCCCACTGCCCGCCCACTTCACGTCCTTCCCGTTCGTCTATCCCCTTTCCTCAACCCAGCAGGAACCCAATGGATTAATCCCACCCAACCCCTCGCCACCCAACCCAACGCACCATCATCAACGCCCGCTCTGGCAGCCGCACCACAAACGGCGCATAGTCCGTCCTGAGCACCGCCGCCCAGGGTCCCGGGCCCAGACCGGCCCACGCCATCAGCTGCAACCCGCTGATCTCCCGCAGCAAAGTGCAGCTGGCGGCGTGCCACAGCCGTACCAAGGATTCCAAAGAGGACCACGTCGCCAGCAACAGACCCGTGGGACTGTAACGCACGCCCTCCACGGAATCTTTGGAATCGGTGCCGTGGCCGTGGGATGCGGAAGCCGTACATGACGCTGTACGGATGTCCCAGGTGCGAAGGCTGCCGTCCCGGCTAATGGACGCCAGTGAGGGCGCGTTGTTGGGCGCAAAGTCGACGTCGTACACGTGGTCGCGGTGCTGCAGGGTGGCTATCTGTTGGTGGTGACGGTGAGGGGGAGGAGGAGGGGGAGGGGAAGAGAAAGACAAGGGGGAGAAAATATTATTTTTATATATACTTTCCGGGAGCCTTCCCTTCCCTCCTTCCCAACGGCCCCATCCCACCCCACACCGGCTGCAGCAGCTCCCCCACGTACATATACCGTACACCAACTAACCAACCAACCAACCAACCAACAGACAGTCAGACCGACTCCTTTCTCTCCAGCACACCTTTCCAGAACGGTAATCAACTCACCATCCATACCCAACACCACTGCACCCACCCGCAGCACTCACACACACCTGCACACCTGCTTCCACACTCCTTGCTTTGATAAAGGTACTCATCAGTTGCTCAGTCATCTCCGCCCGCGGCTCAGAAATCCCATCAACTCCCGCAAAGTACATACGGACCCACACAGGACATAACGATGGCCTATGGTTTCATCCACTCCCACCCACCACCCACTGACCGGCTGAGGCAGCTGATCCTCCACGACGGCGCGAAGAGCCGCCTCCGGGCTCCACAAGCACAGCGTCCCGTCATCCGACCACGTCGCCAGCAGCCTGCCGTCCTGGCTGTACTGCAAGCCGTACGCCAACCGCGCGTGGCCCTGCAACCGTGCCGCCAGCGCTCCCGACGGCAGCGCCCACAGCAACACGGTGCCGTCGTCGTGAGCGGAGGCCAGGTGACTGCCGCGGGGGGCAAAGGCGACGCTGCAGGACAGAGTTACCCAGCCGCCAGCGCCAGGGCCGTGACGGCGCGAAGCGCCGGCGGCAGCCGCGGCCGCGGCTGCTGGTGCCAACCAGGCCGTCGTTGCGCGGCTCGGTGCGGCGCCGCCACCGGCGCCAAAGCCGTCGTGCGACAGCCTGCCGCCCAGCGCCGCGTCTGCTTGGATAGCCACCAGCAAGTGTGTCCCCGTGACGTCAATATCGGAGGTGTTCCAGATGCAGATGCAGCCGTCGTCGGAGGCGGAGGCGAGGAGGTTGCCGTCGGAAGAGTAAATCACGCGACCGACGGGTCGCCCGTGGTCGCCCACAAGCCGAACCCAGCGCCGTGGTGAAACGGCGTCCCAGACCACCACACCGCCGTCAGCCAGGCCAGCAGCGAGCTGTGTCCCACTGGGGTTGTGGGTGAGGCAGGATATGACACCTGGCAGGGGAGGAGGATGGGGGCAGGAAAGGTTGCCAGAGAAAAGTGGGTCGTGGACCCAATCCCATCCCAGGTCTTGCACCCGCACCCGCACTCGCACCCAGAAACGACGACATGGGTCGTCAGCTTTAGCCCTTTACATCCCATAAACCCCCTCCACACCCACTCCACCGCCCCTGCAAAACCGCTCCACCTCGACCTACCCGGTGCCGGGTGCCGCCCACTGCTAGCCGCCTCATCACCGCGAATAACAGTAACCTGGTGCTGCGCCGCCGTCCGCTCCGCCGCCGCGCCAGCCGCGGCGGCGCCAGGCCCCGCGGCCGCTGTGGCGCCGCCACCGATTCCGTAACCCTGATCCGCCCTCATCGCCTCGCTGCGGTGCAGTATGGCGCCCATGTCCCACAGCCGTACGCCGTCCTCGTTGCCGCCGGTGGCCAGCACCAGGCCGCAGGGACTGAAGGCTAAGGCGTTGACTGCGAAGGAGTGGCCGCGGAGGCTGGCGGCTTGGAACCACTGACCCCGGGTGCTGGCGTTCCACACGCACACCTCCCCGTCGTCGCCTGGCGTGGGGGAGGGGGAGGAGGGGGAAGAGGGGGAAGAGGGGGAGAGGCGAGTTTTGGTGGTGGTGGGGTGGGGGTACGGGGGCTCGGTCTACTTCTACGAACTGCTCCGTCCTATCTCCCTCTCTACTACCCTCAACCGCACCGTCCCCTCCCCTCCTCCTCAGCCCCCGGCCCGAGTCCGAGGTCTTCTTCGACCTAACCCGCACAGGCGCCCTTTCTTCGTTCCTTTTTATACAGAATCCTCCTTGCCTGCAGTTGCCAGCAGCAGCCCGCCGGGGCTGAAGGCGATGGCTCGCACCGGGGCCGCCCCCGGCGGGCCCTGCAGCACCTGCAGCTGATTCCCCGAGGCCACATCCCACAACAACACCTCCGCAGCGCCCTCCGCCAGGGATGCCAGCAGCAGCCCCGATGGGCTGTAGTGTACGGCACGGATGGGCACGTTGTTGTCGTACGCGCGCAGTACGCTGATGTGCAGTGGATTGAGCCGTTCCAGATGCCACACCCGGATGGTGCCATTGGCGCAGGCTAGGGCTAGCAGCTGGAGAGGGAGGTACGGGGGGGGAGGGAGGAATGAGATACGCAGATAAGAGGACGAGGGCAAGAGCGGGGAGAGAGGAAAAAGAGAGAGAGAGGAGGGGGAGAAGGAGATGAGAGACATGAGTGGATTGGTGGGTAGTTGAGTGGTGGTCTATGCGGTGTCTACCGGCATCCAAGTGTACGGCATTTGGATGTTATTCCAAATCACATGCTATAATGCATCCTTTACGGAATAAAAAGGCCGCTCCACATACAACAATTTAGCGGAATTTCATTTGGGGTTAATTTTAATGATTGCTAAAGTTGTAAAGGTCATGCAACCCTGGCTATGGGACCGGTAACAGGGCCTGCAATAAACGACAACGATGGTGAAGAAGGTCACAGGGTCTGCGGCGACGGCCACCTGCCGGCGGCAAAGTGAAGTATTCAATCACAACACGAATTCACTCATCAAGTCGTCCTCAAAACCTTGACAACGAAAACTTCCCCCGCCGCATTATTTCCACTACAACTTTCACCACCCTCGACTTCCAAAAAAGGAACAAATTTGATTATTGAAGCGAAAGAACTTGCCTGGCCGTTTGGTGAGAAGCTTGCGTACCGCGCCGCAGTAGTGCGATTGATGACCGGCATAGTGGAGCTGCGCACCCCCTTGACCGGGTCCCACACCGTCACCGTTCCGTCGCCATACACCACCGCCAACAAGTGCCCATCGGGGCTGTACGACATGTGCCGTATCGAAGGTGCGTTACGGGGCCCCAGCAGGGTTTTCAACACGGGGTCGGGCTGCGGTTCGCTAAACACCAGCAGCGGCCCCGATCCAGAATCCAACGCTCGTACACGTACGGCACTGTCGGTGGACGAGCCAACGGCGAGCAGCCTGCCTTGCGGGTGCAGGTCGACGCAGGGCACCGAGGGGCTGTAGCCCGTGAGGGTGCCCACGCAGCGCGCTGTAGCATGGTCCCACATGAGCACGGTACCGGCGGCAGTAGCGGCCGCCAGCAGCCGATTACGCCGGTCAAACACCAGTCCCGTCACGCCACCATTATGACCCGGCAAGTGCGTGATTGCAGCCGGCCAGAACGGCGGTGGGTTTAGCAGCTTGCACTGCGGCCGGCTGGGTCGCGTATGGGACGAAGAACCACCAGCAGAAGTGAGGGCGCCGCCGCCGCCTCCGGCGGCGGCGGCGGCGTTGCCATCGCCGTCCCAGCTTGGCCTTGTCGCCCCCGGCTTAGCATGATCCGTACCTCCAGATGCGGCGCCGTGCGGTTGGTAGTTCTGGTGGTTGCTGCCGTAGCTTCGTACACCGCCGCTGGGAGGTGTACGACCCTCAGCGGCGGCCACCAGTCGCGCCAGCAGCGTACGTGAGGGCGCCGACTGCCAGAGGCCCATGACGGCGCGTGGGAAGGCCCGCAAGGCGCCCATGTTGTGTCGCAGCCAGCGCAGTACCTCCGAAACCACCTCCGTTTTGTGCGTCAGACGTAGCAGGGTGAGGTACAGGGTACCCTCTTCCTGGCAGCGAAACACCTAAAGAGGTTGGGAAGGGAGGCGGAAGAAAAGCGGGGAAGGTAAAGAACAGAAGGAAACGGACGATCAGGAAAACGGACGGGCGTGAAGTGGAGGGACGAGGGGCGAGGGAGGGGAAGGGAGTGGGGAGAGGTGTGTGTAGGGGGGGAGGGGCCCACGGCAAGCCGTGAAGAGGGAAGAGTAGGAGAGCGGGAGAGGGGTAACGCGCGGACCCCGGGGCATCCCGAAATCCATGGAGGCTGAAGTTGGTGGCAGGGGGTGGCTGGGAAGGCGGGAGTGGTGGGCTGTCAGGATGGGGTATAAGAGACCCCCAAGCATCCCGAGGGCACCTCATGGACCTCTTCTATTAGACCCTCATATACCCAAATATACATATGACCACCCGCAAACCCCCCATCCCCCCCATCCTCACCTCCCCCTCCCGACACGCACCTGCTCCATGTACTCCGCATCCATCAACAGCCGCTCGCCACCCGTCACCTCCTCGTCGCTCAACAACAAATGCAACACGGCGTACCGCAAGCCGTACGTATCCAGCGCCCGTACATCCCGCTCCGCAACCTGGCGGTAGTGGTGACCCAGCACAGCATGACCGACCCGCGGGTCGGCGGTAAACTGCTTGGCCACCCGTTTATCCATCAGCCAGGACTCCAGGGAGGGGTCCGCCATCACCATGACGCCATCCCGTACATGGAAGAGGACTTCCCAGGCCGGCAGGTGCTGCAGTACACCCTCGAAACCCATGGCGGCGAGTTGGGTGGTGCTGAGGCGCTCCTGAGCTGCTACTGCCACACAGAGCAGCCGCATGACCTTTGGAGGGGGAAAAGGGGGTTCATAAGATACACGGAGGAGAGGTGGGGAGACGGGGGCCCGGTGAGTGACTGGGGACTGGATGGAACGGACTGGAGTTCTGGACGGCGTTCACGTTCTTCGGCGGGTAGGATATTCCGCAGCGATTATTCGCATCGGGGGGCATTGATTTCAAGTGGTTCGTGGTTCCCTGCTGCCGTCTTCCCATCACTCCTCGTGACATGACTCGTTCCTCTTCGTACCCACATGCACATGCACATGCAAGCTCTCCAAACTGCGCCCTCTCCCTTCCCTTCCCTTTCCTTCCCTTCCCCTCCCGCTGTCCCTCTCTCTACGGCGACGCGCTCCCCCCTCCGGGATGGCAGTGGCGGAGGAGGCACGTCCAGGTTTGCGGGTCTTTCCAAACGACTTCCTCCCCTCAAGGCCCATTCAACTCAAAATCCCTCCCCCCTCGTTCTCCTCTTCCCCCTTCACCTGCGTATGCAGTTCCTGAGCCGCAATCGCCTGAGCTGCATACATCTTGAGCTGCGCCTGGTGCTCCACCGCCTGCTGCTGCACGTGCTTCTGCAGCTGCTGCAGCTGAGCCTGAGCCGTGGGGCGCGCCCCACGCGGCGACAGCTCCGTCACCTTCTGCTGCATCGCCTCCAACTGCACCTGCGTCTGCACCTGCAGCTGCGCGACCTGCGTGCGGAAGGTGGTGTGCCGCCGCTCGGCGGCCGACACCGTGCGGTCAAAGTGCTGCGCGAAGACCGCGTAGTAGGCCTCCCCTAGGGACGCGGGCAGCGGACTGGGCAGCTCCCGGAGCTGCAGGATGACCATGTAGAAGAGCACGTGGAGGTGCTCCGGAACCTGTACGACAGTGGTTGTGGAAATGGGGATGGGGATAGAGGAGGGATTCAGGAGAGAGAAAGAATGGGGAGACCCTAGTGTCGTGAAGAAGTCATAGAAAACGGAGGGAAGGGGATAGACACGAGGATGGAAGATGACAGACATACACACACACAAACAGACATGCACATACAGACATGCACCTTAGCTGGACTACAGAGCTCGCTTCGGTATGAAGTTGTTCGTGTCCCACCATAATCGGTATTTCCCTCAGCGCGGCTCAGAAGGTCATTAAAACACACCCTCTCTCTCATGCACACACACACACCTGTTTGAGGTCATGCAACATGAACGCCGCCGCCTCCTCCCCGAACTTGTGTTGCAGTCGTTGTTGCATGGCCGCCACTGACACCTGGCCGTGCAGTATGCTGTCCCGGTCCCTCTCCGCCTGGGACAGCCGGTAGCCATCAGCGGTGTGGGATACACGACCCTGGCACGAGGTGTGGGGTGAGGTGTGGGGTGAGGTGTGGGGTGATGTTACGAAGTGGGGGTTGAGAGTCGAGGTCACAAACGGATATGCGCAACAGAAGAACGGTTTGACTTGGGGATTGTAGGGTTAAGGCAAAGGAGGTGTGTGTGGAAAAGGTCCCACGAGCCGAGTAAGGGGGGGACCGGCGAGGCGACGGCCGATGAAATCGATCAGTGGCGAGAAGGGGGAAAGAGACACCGTACTTGCACACGTAAGGCCTCCGAAACCCCACCCACCCGCACACCGCGCCACTTGCACACCTCCTACATCCCCCCCGCGCACCTGTAGAGCCACGCTGCCCGTGCCCGTGCCCGTGCCGCTGCTGCCCGCAGCCGTAACTCCTCCCCCTCCCGCCATGCCCTTGCTGGGGCTGCTGCCCCCCCCATTCCGCCTCTCCTCCCGCTCCCTCTGCATTCTCTGCAGGTGCTCCGTCAGCGCCAGCATCTGTATGGAGTACACGTCCGCCTCGGAACTCGCCAGGGCGACAACATGGTGCTGATGGTGGAGGTGGTGCGGGTGTGGGTGCTGATGGTGGAGGTTGTGGGTGTGGTTGTGAGGGGAGGGAGAGCTGGAACGGCCGTTGGCGGAGAGACCCCGCTCCAGGGAAGTGATGGCACCAGCGGCGGCGGCGGTGTTGGCAGCCGTTGAATTTCTGAAAGATGGAAAGAGAGCGATGAACGGAAAAGATTTTGTGTTGACAGGACAGGGTAACGCAATTCGGCAAAGGTAAAAATAAACAGGAGGCCTTGAAAGATTCGATGATACAAGGTGCTAGGTGCTCTGTGCACTTCTCTCCACACATAAATCTACAAGGGAACGTTGATCCGAACCTGACTCAAAAGGAGCCCCAAAGGTTAGGCAAGTCCCAAATTCGGGTATGGTATAGGGGACTTAGTAGGTAATAATAGCAAACACGGACAAATGAAGCAGGAGTTAGCAACAGGGGGGTTGTCAAGTGGGCTAACAGCTGCAGGCGACGACAGGAGGAGGGACACGGGGGATGTGGCTGAGGGGGGATCTAACGGCGCCGGGGAAAGATCCTCCTGGAAGCAGCAGAGCCCCAGGACAGCAGTTCAGCACAGGTTCGCTCGTGTCATTGCTATCTGTCTGGTGCGACAGTTACCCCCAACGTAAACTCTACATGGGCCTCCTGAAGAACCCAAATGCCCAAATGACTTCCACTGACTCTCCCCATGTCCTCACCCAGGGAGCCAGCCAGTCCGCCAAGCCAGACAGCTGGCCAAGAGAGAAAATAACATAACATATCATAACAATTGATACAGATGTATTAACAATAATGGAGGTAAATGGACTAACATGTCGATTTATCTTCCTACTGAGCCTTCCTGCAAAACGTATTGTCTGCCTCAATAAGATACGGGATAATCAGCCCGGGTTCGAATCCCGGTCAGGTCTCAGCACTTGGACATGGCGACCTACCCTGACAGAGATTTGATGGGACTTGTGGGCGGGGAGATATTGGAGGTACTTGGAATGATGACGCTGGCTGGGGCGCGGCGTGGCAGAGGTCCTGAGGAAATGGTGCCGCTAGAGTGGCCGCCGGAGTAGTGGCTGAGGACGTTGGGCGTTGTGGAGCGATGGGCCGGGTGGTGGTTGTGGTTGTGATTGTTGTTGTAGTGGTGTGGTGTTGGCGCGAGAGAGAGCGTGGGCTGCAAAGATGGGAACTTTGTTGCGCTGATGCGCAGGCTGCGCACGAGGGAGAGAGCTGGGGTGGAAAAACCGAAGGGAAGGCGGCTATCTCGTCGCTTTCGGCCGGCGCTGGGGCTGCGAGCGCGTACGGAATCCCGCCCGGCTAGGTCTCGAGAGGCGGAGTCGCGACGGCCCGACTCCCTGCCGCCAACTGAGATGCTGGAAGGCGGTCGGGAGCGTTGCGCGTACGGCGATATTGGGACGGTGCCGGTGCCGCCACCAACACTGGTTCGAAGGTAAAATAATTCATCGATGTTGTCGAAATTTTGGCATGATGGGAGCGTCGTTGGCCGGATGCCCCGAGAGGTTCGCGACCGACGCGGAGGGCTCCATGGACTGTGCAGCTCGTCCATGCAGGTTACCGGTGGCACCAGATATCTGCAGCAGAAATGAGTACCACACCACCTTATGACTGGCAGGGGGTGCCGTGCAGCAGAAGACTCAACAGCAGGGCGCTGGCCAGAATTTGCTGAACCCAGGATAACGGGGCGGTATGCTGCATCTTTTATTGAGCCATGTTAAGAGTAAGACAGCAGAAACCATCGATGGAACGCGGCCAGACGTATGGAAAGGCTAGGCTCCTGATGGGTCAAGGTACTCCTTCATTTCTACTATAATGGCCTCAAGCAAAACCCGATCACAAACTGCACGTGAAAGCGTACCCCTGATAAGGCGCACGCTTCTGCGCCCAATTCCAAGGCTCCTCGGCCTTCTACTAAAGGCCGTTTCCATGCATACGCGGACCGGAGTCCTGTCAAAATGTTCGTTTCTATTTCAGGTGTATTATCACTTAGCAAATGTTTTAGCCAAGAAACTGCAGACTTTCTCGATGCTGTTGTAGTACGAGTTGACGGTAAAAAGTTACAACGCCTTATACCTCGCCAACATACAGACGAATGCACACCCAGCCAATTTTGCCTCTCATGGAAAGCTTGAAGCTGGCCTCTTTATATTGGCAATTCATTATCTTAGCTGGCTACTCCATCGGTTAGCCTCAACTTGCGAAAGCTCCTGACGCGCCTATACATTGGCTTGAAGCACACAGCATTGCGTTCAGCTTTGATGTTTCCAAATCCGAAAGACTCAGCCATCCAGGAATACGGCTACTTGTGGTGGTGGTTCCCCGCGTGACTTTCCCTCGCAGTATCGGAGTGCTTGTCCGTTTATCGGCCGGATGTGGCCATAGTGAACCAAAAACACAGGACAGCTGGTGCGAAAAAACACGTCATTAACATTATGCGAACGCATCGCAAGTATGCGCATTGTCATGCACTCACCGTTTTTTGAGGGAGCGAAGACACAACTTAGGGATGGAAATGGGATCCTTTCGCTTTTCGTCAAACGCTGACTCGCTTTCTACAGCCCATTGGCACAGTTTCAACTGCGCTGTTTCTGAGTTACTTTCCTTCCCTCTGACACGCCGAACGCCGCCACTGCACCTTGCTGATCAGAATCCATCGTCAGCTGCTTCCACACCATCGCGATCATCACCATACACGGCACATGCCACCGCGAGGTGCCAGTTATGCTATGATAACGTCTAACGGCCAGCTGTCCGAAAGTCGTTCATTTCAGGCACCTCATCCCTCCAGATTTCACCACCACCACCCGCTTGCCTCCCAAACTTCCCCCTACACGGCCCATATTTTCTTCACCACCACCACCATCTGTTACAGATTTGCAATTCAGCGAGTCGTGTTACAGCGTGCCCTAAGTTGTCCATACATGTTGATGCCATGTCATCAAAGAAAACTCATACATCTGCTTACTACGTTTGAAAGCCAAATGAAAGCACATGGTGCGCATCCCTCCCACCCGGTTACTGTACGGCTGTACAAACGTAGATACCTTCAGCCGTACGCCTCGCCTCTTAACAGTGATCTCAGCCCAACAACAACAAGTTACACACGCACGCGCGATGTACGTGTCTTCCATAATCCTGCTTGTTAGGCCTGTCACGCCAAAACATCTGGAGCGCACAAAAGTGATCCATCCGCATTTCTTGTGTCTGTTAGCACGTCATATGGCGTGACAGGCCTTTCCTGCCATGACGAGACACATACACACACATACACGCATGCAGATATTCCAGCACATGCACACGCACCGCATACCACCCTCCATCGCTAGAGGAGCTAGGGTACCCAGCTCCTTCGAAGGAAACGAAAAGGTCTCTCGGCCCCGGTGCAGCCAGCAGTCGCCCCGCAGTATTCCGCAGGGGGGGCTGTACGGCCCTGGGCTGCAAGCGGAGGAACGGTGTCGCGTTTGGACTATACGCTAGGGCCCGGTGCGGCGGCCAGCGGCGTTGGAGTGATGTATGAATCAGGTGTATATACACTTGCTGCTAAGGCCCCCATGCAAATCCATATGGACGGTGCATTGCGCGCCGCCTCCATCTTAGCAAGAACGGCTGAGCATCTATAGCCTCCTGGTGGTGCGCGAACCCAGTTCCCCATCGCCAGTCAAACTGGAGAATAGGACGTGTATGAGATGTGCGTGAGACGGAGCAGAAGGCGAGGAGGGAAGTGCTGGAGCAGTTGGCATTGATGGGCTGGAGTTGCGGAGTGTGGCCCCGGAGCTGATGAGCGGCGTATGTCATATTATTGCTGATGGTTGGTTGTCGTTAGTATGGGACTCGCTTTGGTGAGTTGAGGACGCGTTCTGAGCCCGGGGGCGCTTGGGGAGCCAAAGCCGTGGGCCGCGGAATGCTATGTGAATCAAATCTTCGGTGCTCGGTGGAGAATTGTAGTATTAGCTTTTTAAATCCAATTCTCAGTTCAACGTGGCATGCGAGTTTATCATGAGACACGACGTTGACTGACTGACTGACAGCAGTAAACCCCGGGGGGCCTCGGCGCCCCGAAAGGCGCCGAAAAGGTATCCAGAACGCGCCCACCTCTATGCACCTCACCCTGTCGTTCCCACACCCTCCAAGCCCTACCGGAAACACCTATCCGTGAGTATCCCCACCCCCACCCTCAACCCCACCCACCGGACCTCCCCGAAGCACGCCAGCGCGAACGGGGTTTGCGTTCAATCCCCCCGACCAACCATTACACAATTCAACAAGCTGTACATAGCATTCCGACCGCTTTCCAAACCCCCTCCCTCCACCCCCAAAGTCTCAACCCTCCCCGACTAAAAGCTCGTCCAGGACGTAGTGGAGAGTGTACGTCAACCCTGACACAAACACCCTAAACCCTGCACACTGTCCTGGAGCCGAATGGGCTGCAGGTCTCGTCCGTCAAAGCTTAGATTCACAGCGGGCAGCGGCAAATCGGGGTTGAACCGGCCGCCAGTACCGCCGCCGCCGTCAACGCCGCCGCTGCCGCCGCCGCCGCCGGCGGAGGCGGCGGACGGCAGCGCTTTAAAGTCCGACAGCAGTGCGACCGCCTCGCCGGCGGCGGCGGTGGCGGCAGCCTGTACCGCCGCCGCTGGCCCCGCGACCGATCCGTAGCTGCCGTCTTGAGAGCAGTGCGAGTACTGTACGAGCAGCTTGGTTAGTTGTGCTTGAAGCAGCTTGTGCGACTGTTTGGGTGAAGGGGGAATCAAATGTTGGTAACGAAAATGATGGTGATGGTGATGATGATGATGATGATGAAGATGGTGATGATGAAAATGATGGTGATGGTGATGATGTAAGGAGAAGCAGCAAAGGTGAACTACCGTTCGAAGGAGGGGGGAAGGAGGGGGAGGAGAAGAAATTACAAAAAGTTAGGGAGCTGCTAACGGAGGCCCCCCCCCCTTGGGGGCTACTAGCCCGGTAAGGGGTGATCCCACTGGTGGTGGTGGGGAGGGGAGCCCCGGAGGCTCAAGAAGAGGGTCAGCGGAAATAAGTTAGGGTTTATCCCCTACGATGATATGAAACCGGGGGGAGGGGGGAGATGAACCACGAACGAGGGGGAAAGGAGGGGAAAGACGAACCACACGCGATTGAAGCTGCTGCCAGGGCAAGATAGTAGCAAACGTAAAAACTGACCGAAAGGCGTCCGTGGCGACTGTGACGACTGTAACCTCGGGATGACGACGTGACGTAGATGTTGGAAATCCTACCTACCTAAGCCGCCAGAATGAAAAAAGCTGAATAGTATAGCCAATCCGTAAAGAAGTAGGTGTAGAAAAGTAGTCGTGAAGGCGGCGAGCAAAATAGTGCTGTCGTAAAGGTGGCCTAAAGGTGCTGGCCTGGAGAAAAGGCTGATTTGCTGATACTGAAAGGCTGTCGGTATGCAAGTGTTCCTCCCAAACCCCCAAGAAAACTAAAACGCGCGACCGACCCGACCGACCCGACTATTCTATTCCGGCTAGGGGGAGGAGGGGGAGGAGGGGGAGGAAGAGGCGGGGAGAGACAGATTTCAGGCATGACCCTCCACACGTACCTGTAGCTGCGTCTGTCTGCCCTCCGGAGACAGGAACCTCGCTAACTCAGCCGCACGACATACCGCACGACACAAGTCCAAGCAGTACAACGGAACCCCAAGTTGCACACTCAGAGGAACCCAGGACGCGCCACTGCCGCAGCCGCCGTCTGTCGTCGTCGTCGCCGCCGCCAACACATCAACATCCGAGCCGAGGCCGCTGCCGCTGCTGACGCCGCCCATGGCATGAACTGACGACGCTGGCAATGATGTTGATGGGGGCAGCGGCGGCGGCGGCGGTGCGCGCATTTGCATAAGGCGCAGGTGGCCGACGCACGACGCCAGGCCCAGCTGTCGCAGCCCCGAAACCAGTCCGGGATCCAGTATAACCCGGGCCGGCTCGCCACCCGTCCTTCGGATACCTGCAGATGTACGACATGGATGGCCGTGGACGTGAGGTAAGACAGGCTCGGGTGTACGGCATAAAACCCATTAAACCCCACATACCTGGAACCACCACGGACGTGCCAGAGGGTGTCAAACCGGAGGAGGAAGAGGCACCAGTACCCGGCGGCGCTGTACTGCAGGTCCCGGGTGCCGTCAAAACCGCCGACGTCGCCGCCGCCGCCGCCGCCAGCGGCGGCTGCGGCGGCAGCGGCAGCGGCACATCTACAACGTCAGGGCACCAGCCCAGCTCCGTACAGTCCAGTGGCTGTACAAGTACGGCCGTACGACTGAGTAAGTCGTTGAGAGTGTACAGTAGGAAGGACGACTCCACCACCATCATCTGCACAGATTGTACGGCATGTACGACAGGCCAAGTGCTTGCTGCGTGGGGGCATAATTGAATGTGGTGACCAGGTCGCGTTTGCGGCTACCATCAACATACATACATACATACATACATACATACATACATACATACATACATACATACATACATACATACATACATACATACATACATATTACATACATACACATACTAAGGGTTTGGCACCACTGGTAAGGCGCGACCATTGCCCCCGGGAGATCCCGGGATCGATACCCATTAGGGTCAAAAGTCCTTCCGATGGTGGAAGGCATTGCGCCCCTAGTTGATGGACGGTGGTGACCTGGGATAAAGTTAACCTGCGAGCCGACCAGGAATGGAGTTGCGCCGCTGTCGACCCGGCAGATTCCGTTGGATGCTGGTGGTGGGTGCGGAACCTGAGCGATCCACTGAGAAGATGACTAGGGTGACTGGATGAGGGTGCCCCGAAATACCGGGGAAGGCAGGGTTTCGCAGGGTAGCTGCCACGGGCGAAGATACACCCCCCTGTTTCACACATCATACACACATGCACAGCGTTCCATCCTTGGCATTTCCCTCTCTCGCCTCAGATCACAAAACAAACATACGCATATACACACATACACATGTATCACCGCATCCCTCCCTCCCTCCCTCCCTCCATACGTACGGTGCCGTACCTGACCCTCCGTGCCGTGTGCCTTCCCCCCTCGCCCCGGCTCCGTGTCCTCGTCCCACGGGGTACACAGCGCATGTGTACACCGGTCCAGGGGGTGTGGCAGCCGCCAAACCCGCTGACCGCACACGAACACGTACGACGTAGGACCGCACCTGCCCGGGGAATTGGCGGGGACGCGGGGAAAGATGCGGTGGGCCGGGGCCCCGGCGGGGAAGGGAAATCCTGTGAACGAATGTTGTTGATACACTAGGAATCCAAGGGATCGTCAGTGCATACATAGAAACCGCTCAACCAACAATGTATGCACATATGTCTGTATGTATGTACGTTGGTATGTATGTCTGCGGGACGAAGCCAAAACCGTGCAAACCCCCACATCACACATTTCGATGCGTCGAAAGATGTGTAAAGACGCCGGGGGCCAA